CCATGGGATTTTTATTGACCACAGAGAGTCAGGACCTCAGTTTAACGTCTCATCCGGAAAAACGCCGCTCACTGACAGTATAGTGTCCCCTACACTATACTGGGGCATTAGGAGATAGAGCACCCCCTGCTTGCCTCACTAGCACCACTTCCAACAGCAACCTATAGTTTTCCCATGTGGTCTCCCATCCAGGTAGTGGGCTGCAAGGCAATATGGCTGTGGATATATATGCCGTTGTATTTGCACTGTCATTTTATTTGCACTGTCTGTATTTTGTACTGTCTGGAGACAGCACCTAAGCTTTTGACTCATCATAGCACATGTGCTGCTGATGATGTGACTATGAAAGTGATTTGATTTGATGCAATATTATAATAGTGAATAAGAACGATGTAGTTTAGAATTGGTCAAATGAGCTATATGATCAGAATATAGATTTTAATTATGATATGTAATGTAAAGTCATGTGTGTTCATATAGCACATTCATCGGGTATGGCTATACAGCCAAAGCGCTTCACAATCATGAGAAGGGTCTCTCCACACCACCAGCATGTAATGCTGCACACAGATGTGACGGCAGCCACAGTACAATGGTGCCAGTGCGCTCACCACACACCAGCTATAGGAGGAGTTGAGAAACAGTGATTAAGTCAATTCAGTGGATGGGAATGATTGGTACGCCATGATGGTTAAGGGCCAATGGATGGTTACATGCCTTTTTTTTTAACGAGAAGTGCCATGGGATTTTAATGACTACAGTGAATCAGGACCTTAATGTCTGATCTGAAAGATGGCACTCACTGACAGTATAGTGTCCCCCTCACTTTACTGGGGCATTCAGCTCACACAGACTGCAAGTTGAGCGCCCTCTGCTGGCCTCACTAACATCACTTCTAACAGCACCTTTCCCATGTGGTCTCCCATCCAGGTACTGACCAGGCTCAGCCCTGCTTAGCTTCAGTGAGGAACCGGTCTTGGGCTGCAGGGTGATATGGCTGTGGATATATGCAGAGATGGGCATTTTTTCTGATACTTGTATTTCAAATACGTATTTAAAACACAAAATAGTATTTTGTAATTTGCATTTGATGGGGTTTATGAAAATAAGTTAATATTTTGTAACAAAATACTTTAGTGTCTTGTATTTTTGTTTTAAAATACTGTAATACTTTGTAAAACATCTACATCAAGACATCATATAAATGCACCCTCTGATTGGTGCTTTATATGTTATTGACTCTTCCAGTTAAAGAAGAAATCTTAGAATAAAGAGTATACTGTACAAATGATAGTAGTTTTGGATGGATTGTTGATGCCAAATGTTTGTCGTTAAAACAAACAACGTAAAAATAAGTCCCACAGTGGCGATTCCTACAATACTTCATTGGCTATTTCAAATGCCAGTAGTTGATCAGTAGGTCCACTGTATAGTTAATGAAGAAGAAAGATGTAAGCCTTAATACGTCACACAACATATGCAACAAAAATATTTAATAATCAAAAACTTTATTTTAAGATATTTCAAAACTTATTGTAAAATACATTTTGATGTAGTTTTGCCCATCCCTGGATATATCCATATATGTATATGCAATATTATAAAAGTTAATAAGAACAGTGTAGTTTGGAATTGGTCAAATGTGCCTGAGTTAACTCTTAAGATCAGGATAACGACTGTTAATTGCGCTATGTATGCAATATTATAATAGTTAACAAGAACAATGTAGATTGAAATTGGTTAAATGTGCCTATAGGAAACCTCTATGATCAGAATATGAACTATGCAATATTATAATGCTCAAAACAACCCCCCCCCCCCACCCCCCCTCAAGTTGCAATGCAGTGGCATAGAGGCTCTTTTGAACAGACTATCATTTCCTTCTCGGGACACTGTTATTCCAGTAGCCTTTGTGAAAAAGCCAAGTGGCCGAGCTACAGACAGGAGGTGGGCTCTTCACAGGCAGCTGAGGTTGTCGACTCAGCAGGGGAGGGAGGCGCACATCGCAGGGGGATACAGGCTGAAAACAAACACTAACTCTGACAGGAAAGGAACTACAAGACCCTGCTGGGAAATTAGGGGGACTCATGTGCTCATTTTCATACATTGGGCAACATGCCGCAATGTGGCATCCTTTATTGCGTTTGTTGTCATGTCAGGGTATGAGTGGCATAGAGGAGATTGTTTACACGACTCGTCCTTTGGGGGATTAAAAATTGTTAACACAAACAGAGCATGAACAAAATCAGTGTGTGCTTTAGAGATAAAAACTTATATTCAAACCATGGGCTTCATGAACAAGATTAATTAATTCCCTGATGAACTAATTATAGCTGTTGCAATTGGTAAATATAATCACATTAAGTGCACATGTAGTAAAACAGTGCTGTGCTATGTTGGGTAGTATGTGCTTATAAATGCATTTAGATATTTACAACACATTATTAACCTAAGATATCACATTGAAATGATCTTCCTCATTTGCTTTCTTCTCCTAATGCTTTACATGCATAACTTCATTATATCAGAGATTAACACCATTGCTCATTTGTAAATTGTGTGGTTTTGGGTAAAGACTGCCATCTGCTGGATTCTTGTATTTATACCTTTTTTTAGTCTGTTCAATATGTTGAAGGTGTATCTCAGTAACTACATGTTTATTTTGTATATTGAATCATGTACAAATTGGGGTAATAAAATGTATTTTTTTAATATAGAATAATAATTTAAGAAAAATGTAAGTCTAATATGCTCAAAAAGGCTATCTATAGGAATATATATACAGAAAAAATTGCATATATTTTTACAAAAAAAAATCCTATTTTACTAAATTTTAAAATGCCTCTGTGTTACAAAATATATATAATATGCTGATTTGATGTTTAAGACACATTTTTTTCTTTTAAAATAAATTATGAATATATCTTGTGAAATCCATATTTATGTTGTAATTAAAATGTTAATAATCAAATAATTCAAGTAAAATAGCTTATATTTAAAAACAGAAAGCTTTTGTGACATTAAGTTAAATGGCCACTGTCACTTTTAATCAATATATTGCACCTTGTTAGAATTTATTTTAGTTGTTTCTGACCCTAATATTTATATAGCCCTACAAGCAAGTCAATAACTGCTAAAATAAATAAATGAATGAATAAATAAATAATCAAACTACATGAAGTATGGTGCAAGCTTCATTGGAAGAATAAGAATTTTATTAATGTTTTATTTGGCAATTAAAATTTGAATTTGTATATTTATGTTCTTTATTTATATTTTCCACATATGAGGAAGCCATAGTTTGCTCTATTGAAATTATGCTTCTTAAGACTTGTGTGGTCATAACTTGGGAAGACTGTTTTGAGAAGAATGTTTTACATTTGAAATGTTTTTGTTTACAAGATTCTGTCTCTTTTTTGAGACAAGGCTGCCATCTGCTGGTCAAGTATGGTTACTTTGGATTGCCGCACACAAATAAGCAGTAAATAAATTAACGAACCTGGGGGCTATTTCATAAAAGTGGTTAAGAAAAGCGGAGATTAAAGTCAAAAGCCTGACTTCAATGAGCTGAACTAAACGTCCACGCTTGGTTCCATAACAGCATAACAAAAAATTGGTTCCATAACAGCAAGTTAAAGATCATTTGATCTGACTAGTCTGAGTTCAGTTTAAATAATCTAGATAACTGCTCGTGCACGTTTCTGTCGTAAAAGTATATATATATATATATATATATATATATATATATATATATATATATATATATATATATATATATATATATATATATATATATATATATTTATTTATTTATTTATTTAATTAACTTTTTTTCACATATGGCCGATTTCTCTCAGATTAAAGGAGGGTCTAACTGAGAATATGTAGTATCAATATCATCACTTTAGCTCAGAGATGGCCAAAGTTGGCCCATGGAAACCTTTGATTTTGCCTGCCATCCCGTCTGAAAAGAGATGGAGAATTATGGGGAGTTGATTGGGGCAAATACCTTTGACAGAAATAATCATTTTGAATTTAACGTAAACTCTAGTTTACATTAAGCCAACTAAAATGAAAGGTTTGAATTAAATGTAAATTAATCACACTTTTAAAACGTAAATACTGTCAGATAAAGGACAATGCACAAGATATTGGTGAGCAAATCAAGGCAAGGTAGGAACAGCTCGACTTGTGTATTCAGCATTGAACTTTATGGTGTTATGAATAGGACTGTTTATGTTTTTACTGTAATATGCTCATTAGAAAATGCTAAAAAAAATCATAAAGCATCATCACTTAATACATTTTAAAGCAACGTTTTCTAGTTAGTTTTAAATATTAGCAAATAAATGAAGAAATTACACATGTCACGTTTAATGTTATATTTGGTACAACTTCGACTCACAGCCCTCAATCAAGTTTGCTTTTTGGCCCTTGAAAACGTTTGGGCACCCCTGATTTAGATCCTTCCTGAATGGAGGAATACGTCTTGTTGCAATTCTCTCCTATTTACGGTAGAAATTTGACCAAATGCCTGAAACATTGAAACATGATCTTTACGTAATATCACAATGAGTTTTGTCATAAAAATATCGATAATTTTGCCTCATACACCTGTATGGTTGGCTATTCTTACTAATATATCTGGTAATGTGGTCCACGGTCACATAGCCTACTTTAAAATGCCATTTTAAGCTTTGTTATTCAAATATATAATCGAAAACAAAAACAAGAAGAGGATCAGCCTACACTACATTACACATATGCGTCTATTTCGTTGACGTAAAGCGAAAAATATAAACATGTTTACTTTATTTGTGGCTGTCTGGGACACGATATGAGTTATAGCAATTTCTTTCCATCTATAGCTTTTTTGACAGGTATTATTGATTGATTTTTCATGCAACCAAACTTGCACAGGCGACACCCCGCCTTCACCAAAATATCCACCAATTGGACAGCCTGCTGGATGACAAGTTACTCTGCAGCTGGACGGCTGTATGATAAACAAAACCGTTAGTGTGGTCATTCCCACATCTGTTGTTTTTATGTGAACGGTTAAAGGGGGAATCTTTCGAATGAAGTATGGCAACAGTCAAAAAGGATGCTCGACTGACGAGTTCGCAAAGTTTGATGTGCGTCGGTTTTGCCGGGATTTTTAGCAAAACTGTAACTTCGCCGTTGGAAGTCGTCAAGATTTTGAGCCAAGTAGGAACATTTCACTGTAAACGCGGCTTCCTGGACAGCTTTGTTTTAATTTGTCAGAATGAGGGACTTCGAGCATTTTGGAAGGGTAACATGGTTTCCTGTCTACGGCTGTTTCCCTACAGTGCCATACATTTAGCAACGTACAAAAAGTAAGTATTATACCTTTTATTATACTTCAATATTCACACAAATGCGTACTTTGTGATTAGCGTTTACCTCAAGTGTAGGTTTAACAGTTTTGAGTATTCTGTTTAAAGATAAGATAAACTTTTCGATCAGCTGTCATGGTAAACAAACACAACAGGAAGTTGACGCGTTAACTCGATAGCGTTTGAAAGCAGATGAATGTAAATGATTGAATTATTGATTATGAGATATAATTAACACGTTTAAATGTGCGTGGGATGTCAGATTTAAGAGAGGACGTTTAAACAAAATGTTATTTAATTTCTTTATTTAGTTTAGCTTTTGTTAATTCGTTAGCAGGGGGTTTACATAAGTTCATCCTGACGTATCACATCACGCCTTTATTCATAACCAATCACGTTGCTCAAAAAACGAGCACGTTGATGTGTCGTCACATAGTAGGCGTGGTCTGATTTCTGTGAAGTCATAAAATTAGCGCATTCATAAAATGAGTACAGTACCAGTATTATGGCAAGCTGACATAACATTAATCTATAAACTGTAATATGATCTATTTTCATGTTACTGTTATCTATATTTAGATACTTATCTTTTCCCTGTAAGACTAACACTTCTTAAATAGCTAATTGTGCTTATTCATTAGAACCTTTTTTTAATATATATAAGAGCAAATGAGCAATTCCAGCATTATAAATGTGACGTTTGCAGTAAAAACTCAAAACAATAATTCACAGAGAAAGTATATATTAACATTATATTAAAACATCTGTTTATATTTTCCAAAACAACTAATCACAGAGTTATGGGATCAGAAAAATATCAATCTGTAAACATTTTTATACTTAAAATGAGAGAAAATAATGGATGTTGTTGTGGATGTGACTAAAAAACAAATTTACAGTATACAGCATATTTTGTAGAAATTCTGTGAAGTAAACTGCACAACCCAAAAGAAACAATTCTAATCAAAAGGATGAGAGTTGGCTTACTAAAGAACAATAAGATGTGATATTGCCCCTGGTGTGACTTTGGTAAATCAAATACAAGCCTACACACACACACACACACACACACACACACACAAAAAATAATTATGAATAGTATCTTAAGGAAAAATTACTTAAGGATTTCACTATTTTGGTGAAAACGTTTCTTTTTTTTCATGACAAGGTTGACATTTGCATGGAATAGCTCATTAGATACACATTATTTTATGAAATACTATAGTTATTATTTATTAGACACTGGTACTTATTATATGCTGGTCTATACGCCTATAACCTATAAAATGGATACTAGTGAGATAAGAATAATTATAGCAATAATTACAAAATATGTTAGTGTATAATAAATAAGAACTAATGCCTAACAAAAAAACTACCATTTTAACAGGTACTGATAGCTAATGAATCTATCACAATATCTAATAGTGAATAAGTAATCATATTTTTCATATTCCTATTGGAAATATTCATAAAGATAATAGTAACTATTGGAATAATTACTATTAATTTATGGATGATTCAAAAATAGAATAACTACTAGTAAATACAAGTATGTTACAAATAATAAACCTGTATTAAATAAACGGGTGGCATGGTGGCGCAGTGGGTAGTGCTGTCACCTCACAGCAAGAAGTTCGCTGGTCTACAGATATGCGCTATAGGTGAATTGGGTAGGCTAAATTGTCTGTGGTGTATGTGTGTATGTCCTGGTCCTTCAGGTTGGGGTTTGAGCGTTAGGCTAACGACCCATCTCATAAAAATTAGATGTTACGAAACACCAACATGGTGCGGCTAAATATCAACTTTGATATAAACGGCCCTGGGCAGTAATGAGTCATTGGAATATAGATACTATTCATAATTAAATAGTTGTTAGGTCAATAATAAATTTCCATACCATTCAAAGTAATAAAAAAAGTTAATTAAGACAATATTTACAAGTTACTGTTGAAATAAGTACTAGTATCTAATAAACAAGATCGTGCATATATTAAATAACCATTATAGTACCTAAAACACTCGTAGATAAGAATAGAGTATTAATACTAAATTAATGACAAAGACGTTAGTATCTAAAATTAAGTACTGGTAGCATGAAAGTAGATGCTGGTATGTTTTTTAGGGTAAATGCTCAAACAGCTTGCCATAGCAGTATCAGCTGTGGCGTTTCCATGGATATGAACTATGCGCTTCACAGGAGCTTAGCCTCTGCCTGTCCATAAACAAAAGTACTCCATTGTTGTACTGGTCACGTGTACTTTCACATGCTGCAGGGGTTAACAGAGACACCGGAAATGCCTTTAGAAAGACCCGTACATGGTGTTCCAGTATTCCAGGAAAAGAGTGGAGGGTGTATTCTGACCTGTTTTGAACACCATGTTCCTCTGAAAAGAATACGTGTAAATATCTCCAGTGCAAGCTTATGTTGTTGTTGGTTATTAATCTAATATATTTGTTCATATGTCTAAATGTCTGTCTATGCAATAATGAGCTCTCAACATATATATTATCTACATTATATTTCTGCATATAGATATAACAGTCCTGTTAAAAATATGGATCAAAGCTGGGACATCCCATTTTAGTGTCTGCATTAAATTTACAAAATAAATTTTATAACTAGCATATTAAAACTGTATTTAAGTTTTTGACTATTATAAATCTTAGAAATATCATAATATGTTTGCAGATATTTAATAAACATCCTAAGTGAACATATTTCTATATCTGAAAAACTAAAGAGAGTTACTCTCCTTTAAAAACATACATTCTGTCTCAAAATGTCTGTCTTTGTTTTAGTCTCTATAACCCACCCTCTGCCAGTTTACCCAGTTATATTTCAGCACCCAGAGTTGCCATGGTGGAAAATGCATCATATTTAATTTCAGTCTTGAAGGCTGTCTAAATTTAATGCAGACACAGCTGAAAACACAACCTCTGGAGGAGAGCAGCAGCCTCCAAAATGAGATGCAGATTCAGTTATAAAAAGTCCACATGAGGTGGTTTCTAATGGGCTATATGCACAGGGACTTTTGATTTTCAGTAAGCCAGCTAAAGAGCCTCCGGTGAACTGTCAGAAATCAACAATCTTCACTACTTGATTAATATGATACAAAGTGGATCTCATACAGGAACATGGCAGACCGTGCTGAGATATAGATGCGCTATTATGTCTTGTAATGAGGATATTAATATAAACAAAAAAACGACTCACCTTTCAAAGACCACCAATCACTTCACATAATAACACATTCATATCTCAGAAGGGTCCGTCATGTTTTTGGGTCCCCTTGAAAAATTTCTGTTGTGTTACATGGATATTTGCAAGTGTTGTGACCAATTTGCTACGCGCTTCTTCCGTTGTTTGTGTTGTGACCCAATTTGCAACACGTGTGCTGTCAAATTGATGAAGATCATTTCTTTATTTTCTGGTGGTTTTTTATATGGTGTTAAATTGCAGCATGTTAAGCTCTCTCGCCCACCATACAGACCAGACAGGAAACACTGCATTAAATTCATGGTGCAATGCATGGTGCATTGTTCTGCACCATGACTTTAAATACAGATTATTTTACCCTTTGTTTTCATTTTAATTTTAGCACTTCCCTGCTGCTCATGTCGCTTGCATTTAAAGTCTTTCATCTTATTTTAAGCCTGAAGAGCTAAATAAATGCTTAAATCTATTTAACTGATTAATTCAATCTATTTAACTGATAGAATCTATCTATTTAACTGATACAACACTGATGTTGTAAAAGGAACCTTATGAAATTAAAAAGTAGTCGCATTAACCTTTCACTGGCAGTTTATCTGTGGCTAAAAACACTAGCTGTGAATATACCCATTAGCAAAAAGTAGAAATATTACAACAGCAAACATTAGATTACGTTGTTCAACAACATGTGAAGCACAATATTCCTGCAACAAGTGATTCGGCTATTAGCACATGAAGAACAGAAAAGAAACATATAAACGCAACTATTTAGAGGCACAGAATAGTGCATCACACTCAAACTAAACTCTAGGGCTTGTAATCTAATTAATACATATTAAACCCTTTTTAAAAATACATGCTTATATAAAAGTAAATGCTATATGTTTATTTGATTTTCAAGACAAGGGTAAACTATATGCTTCTGCTTTCAGTATGACAATAAATATCATCTACAATGGAATTCAAATGCACATTGGTAGCACAGAATGAAGTAGATAATCAATACCTCTGGTGATCATCGTCATAGAAGTGTATGCTGTTGTTTGGCTGTGAGAAATAACAAAAATTTCAGGTGATGGTTAGAACAAAAATTTTAAATTTGGTTTTGAATTAGGAGTGCAATACCTAGTTCAACCACTGGGTGTTAATCTTACATACTGCACATTTAATGTTTTAAATAACATTTTTGAAAATAAAATCAAAAGATATGGGTGAGATATGTTTATTTTTTTATTCTGACATACTGAGATATATAAAAGGATAAGTGATGATCATGCTAAGTTTTATTATATTTTAAATGATTTAAAACATCTTTCTGCCAAATTTGAAAACAGTGTTTTGAAGGATATTAGCAAATATATGATACAGGCAAATGTGATTCTTCAGTACAGTATGTCTGAGTAGTAGTATAGTTTAAATTTGCCTTACAATGTGCTTTGGTATACAAATAAACTATTACTACAGGGAATAAAATTTGAGTGTATGTCAGAAAATATAAATAATAAGATGCATTGTAATGCACAGACAAAAACAAAGAAATCTCTTTAACCAATATGCCTTTTGACCAGTATTTAATTTACAAGAAATGTTATTACTTTTTTAAATGCACATTCACTGCGAGAAAACTAAATGTGCTGAAAAATACCAGTAGCTAGTACAGTACAGACATAGTACAGACATTTTCTTCAACTGTAACTTGAAATTACAAGGGTACACTGGTCTACATTTAACACTTTTCTGTGAGTATAGCTCTATGAACTTATACTACATTTTAAATTCAACCATATAACTGTTAACCACATACTTATGTAACTGATAGATATGACAGTTACTCATGTACGCAAAAATGCTTACTATCTCACTATTTATCTTATTCTATATTTGGCAGTATTGTGAACCTTCACGTAGATGAACTGGGTGATATCTCACAATGGAGAGCCATAGTGGCCGGTGGACTGGCAGGCATATCTGCAGCTCTAGCAACATATCCACTGGAGGTGGTTGAAACCAGACTTATTGCTCAGAATTGCCAAGAACCAACGTACAGAGGCTTGCTGCATTCTCTCTCTGTCATATACAGAAATGAAGGACTTCAGGCTCTCTACAGGGGCTTCTCCCTCACAGTTTTGGGTAAGGACTAATTCGGAATTAAAAATATTAAAGCTCATGCTTTGACTTTAAATGTGCTTGAAAAGTTGAATTAAATGCTTGACTTACCATGGAATAGGTGCTGTTCCCTTCTCGGTTGGCTGCTATGCAGTTTATATCAACTTGGATAAATTGTGGCAGGAGCGTCATGTTCGCTTCACGTCTTTGCAGAACTTCATCAATGGCTGTCTTGCGGCAGGAGTCGCTCAAACTCTCTCCTTCCCCTTTGAAACTGTGAAAAAGAAAATGCAGGTGAGAATTTTTTTAGTCGTTTTACTGTAGGGCAACATATCACCACAAGAGGGCACAATTGTACCAGTGTCACAAACTTGGATCTCTCTAAATAGGGGTGTACAAACTCGGTCCTACAGGACTGGTGTCCTGCAAAGTTTACCTCCAACTTCCTCAAACACACCTCCCTGAACGTTTCTAATAAACATAAAAAGAGCTTGATTAGCTAGTTCAGGTGTGTTTAATTGAGGTTGGAACTAAAATATACAGGACATCGGCCCTCCAGGACCAAGTTTGGACAACCCTGTCCTAAATATTCTAAAGATTTATACTCATTTGCAACTTATTGGTGCCCCTGGTGGCCATAATTATGTCAAGAATTATACACTTTAATATCAAATAAAAACACAAATTTGTATTTTAAATAGTGTTTGCAACAGGTCACGCATAACAATACAGCGCACTATTATGAAGGACACAGGTCCCTGCAACAGCTGAGAATGCACATAGTGTCCAGCGTCTGCCTATGCCAAAGATAATTTCTCTAAAGATAGCTGACCCCTCACACACACACAACTGACATAGTGGTGTGCATCTCCTCTGGTTCCTATACTTTTTGTTTTGCTGAACACAACACAAACTGGATACCAAAACTTCTGCTTCTATCCATTTTGCAAGTTAAATGACATTGTCAGACATAAACGGAACAAAGCTGCCGAATGCTCTGAGAACTTCAGTTTGGTGCTAAACAAAAGTCTTTATAGACACAGACAACATAGCCTGCAGAACACACATAAAGAGGGTTTAAGGGTAGAGATATGTGTAAAATGTAATACAGAAAGGCAATCAGTTGTGTGCAGAATGTACATAAATCAAATGAAACATTTTACTCTTATTTGATCTTGCATTCATTGTATATATTTTTCTCTATGAACACTCATGTCAGTATTCTTTTATGCAAGTATTGTTTAATAATCAGGAATATTTCTCCAATCATCACTTTAGGCTCAGAGTCTTGTTTTGCCCCACTGTGGAGGAGTTGATGTCCATTTTAAGGGCATGGCAGACTGCTTCAGACAGGTCATCAAGAACAAGGGTGTCATGGCTCTGTGGAGTGGCCTTACAGCCAACATGGTGAAGGTGACGTCTGTTTTATGTTCTTGCGTGGTGAGAGAGATAAAAATAACCGAAGCACTCTATGTGTTCTATGTAAATCTTCATAAAGACAAAGTCTGAACTTGTCATTAATTGTATAATGATGCCAGCATTCCTCTTCAGGGTGTCTGGAAAAAAAGGCTAAAATCAAAGCGAGAAGTTTTAAATGAAAGGGCATTAAATATTTTATGCATGGCAAATATTTTCCTCAGTTTTTTTGTTTTCCAGTATAAATATAGACACATGTATTGGTCAGTGGGGTAGGAACATTACTTTTCCATTTGAATTAAATTAGATTTTTCTTACATTTGTTTTAAGTTAATCTGAAACTTTCTTAATTCTTTTCACTTGTAATTTTGTTTTCCAACTAAATGTATCCTAATTTACACGTATTTAGAAGTTAACAAGGAAAACAAAACCAAAATACAAAGGAAGAACTTCAGTTTTTTTAGTGTGATGAAATAATGGAGATTTATACAAGGTTTTAAAACTTCGTTGCTAATAAACATTTGGTTAATACAGCTCATTGTCTGCTCCCTATGTAAATTTAGACAACATTTAGAAATATTAAAAAACATATATGTTTACTCGGTCTTAAAACCTTTTAAATGTCCTAAAAAAGTCCTAAAAAGCTGTGCATCGATGGAGTTGCTCTTTAGTGTTTGGACACTCTTTAGAGTTTGGTCAGTTTTAATTTACTCAAACTTCTATGTTAAGCTGCTTTAACACAATCTACATTGTAAAAGCCCTATAGAAATAAAGATTAATTAAATTGAATTGAATAAATTTCCTTTATAAATCCTGCAGAAATTTTGTTCTTGAAGAGCAATCTTTTTCCTCCAATCTACGAACTGACTTTCCTGATCGGCCTCCGCATGCAATAGCATCCTCGAATGTATTTTGTTTGTGCAATATAAAAATAATGCCTTTCCACTTCTTTGTTACCAATATTGTGTTTTATTTTCTTTATTACAGATTGTCCCATATTTTGGCCTGCTCTTCAGTTGCTTTGAGATGTGTAAGCAGGTCTGCCTTTACCGGAACGGCTATATCATTTCTCCACTAAGCTATAAGCTTAAACCTGGTGTGGACCAAAGCCTAGGCCCATATGAACTGCAGGAATTTAAGCGCTACCTAAGAAACAGAAAATCACACAAAGCACAGAGTTCATCAATAGGAAACCGTTGGTAAAAAACATCCAAGAAGATTATCAGGAATGAACAGACCTCCAAGAATGTCTACTGCTGCAGTGCAGTATTTTGTGAAGTATATTTGATTATTATGAAGAACATGTATTGTATTTAACATCCGACAGGCTGTTTTTGGAATAATGCATTTATTTACTTGAAGCACATCCATTATGTACATTTTACAAAAACAATGAGACAGGTCCTTAATGGAAAGTGGTGCACCTGTGAGGCAGTATTTAAGGTGCTTATTGATAACAATGTTGACATGTATTGCTTTTACTGTATGTGCTACTGAAATGGTGTTTTAAGAAGTGTGGAAAAGTTTTAGCATTTCTCAGGAATAATGTTGAGCATCATTTTAACAGTGTAAAGCAATGCCTTTGTCAAACAAAGTTTTCGTATATTTAGTATATACAAAGTTTTTACGGTATTTTACCTCACATGCCTTTTAAAGGTATTTTGTTTATAAACCACAAACTTTTCATGTCATATTGTGGTGGATTTTAATATTGGTTTATTTGATAATGGTTGAGAGTATCTGCATTGTAAAGAATTGTATATACTCTGCGGATCTGGACACACAGTAACCCAGGAACCACTGACTTTGAATCAGATATTAGCATATTTGAATATTAAAAGGGTGTATCGTAAAGACCTCTCTTATTTAACTATAAAAGTAGCTTACATTGTAAAAAAATATGAAAAGCAATAAACATAACTTTATGTTATACTTGTCTTATGACCTGTTTATTATTATATAATACAAACATAACTGAAATGTGTTAGCAGAGACAGCAGTGATTCAGATAGTATTGATTTTGTATTGCCATCTGTAGTCACATGTTTCCAATTGGATCACTGGCTGGGCCACAGTCAAAAGTCATGTGAAGGACTTTGCACTGACATGTTGGCCTTTTTCTTCTCGCACACATGCCCTTGGAGATCATTAACCAGAGAAAGGCAGCAACCTAGCTAGTAACAAACACGCATGTTGTGTCACCTTGGAGAACTTACTTCTTGACTTGACAGCTGAAGGAAAATCTGGACAATCCTGATTCTCCAGCTGTAGTGGTGTGCGGGTGTGTATGTTTTTAAATATTGTAAGTCAGGAATAAGTGGATGCGCTGAAGCACATTTAATAACATCTAATGTTGTAAAAACTTCCTGTTGTCATTTACGCTTTCCACCTTGAAAAGGCTTAAGGTTACCTTACTAACTTTGAGCCATTCATCTCCGTCATCACACGACGGTCCCACCCCTGGAATCTATGACGTTTCATCGATTGTCCAATCATGTCTCAGAATCTCGGGTACGGTTCGTCTCGCGAGACGAACCTTTTAAAAACGTCGTCTCAACTTTTCAATCGGCCATTTCGAATCAGCCGGCATTCCACGCTAGTCCTGCGGCAGAGCGGGATTGACCTCTTCAAGCGACACCTCTCCAAGAACATCCAACAATGAGTGAGACCGCCATCTCCTTCGCCAAGGACTTCTTGGCCGGTGGTATTGCCGCTGCCATCTCTAAAACCGCCGTGGCCCCCATTGAGAGAGTCAAACTGCTGCTTCAGGTAGATATACGCAATGATATTAACAAGATTATATAATCCCAGATTTTTAATAATTGAGATTACGTGATGACTCAATCTTGAATGCTATTAGAACAGAATTATGCTAACGTTAGATCCATTTATGCTTCTATGATGAAACGTAAGGACATTTTCAGATTTTAACTTGCGCTTTTTAATTGCTTGTTTTATTGGACATTCGTATGGATAACCGCCATTTGTCATAGTGGACATCTTCATTAATTGTGCATCTGAGTAGTTATTTGTTTGAATGTTTTGATGCACTTTGAGTCGTTTTAAAACCGAACAGAGCGTAAAATATTTGGTTAAGGATGGACGGGGCCTTCGGTGCCCGTAACCTTTACGTTAGCAATCCTCCTCGAGAGAACAGACCGAGACATTCCTCAGGTAATTGGTGACCAAATAACCGAAATGTGTTATTGCTAAACGTCATTATTGTTAAATTATCGTTTTGAGAAAATAATTTCGAGTTATTTTTTTTAAACTATTACGCGAAACGCGACAAAAAGCATCCTCCGTGATTCCGCCAAGGTCGCGAGAAGGGGAGGCCTGGATATGGCTAGGCCTTTACTGTTAGCTTGCAAGCTAATGCTCGCGCCCTAGGACAACGAAGACCCTGCTATTGTTTAAGAGGACAAGCTGTTTTATAATCGTTTCACGGTTGTCATGTACATGAAATGTTATGCGTTTGTTACTTTTACAGACTTTACGTCAATTTAAGCAATTTTGCTTTTCCTGTCAGTCATTTTTTTGCGGAAATCGCCTACCGGAAGATGTCGAGCATTTTGCGCGATACCGGCTTCTTTCGTTTCTCGTTATCACGTGTTCTGATTTTCTCGGTTTTGTTTTTCAAAGCCGTTGTCTCATTAGAAACATTTTCGAGCAGGTTTTGGCTGCTGCTTTTTGTTATCTTAGCTCATAAATCTAATCACTGTCTTTCATTGAGACGTTCTCCATTGAGTATTCTCATTGACCTTTTTTCCCCTCCTGTTTACAGGTGCAACATGCTAGCAAACAGATTACAGCAGATAAGCAGTACAAGGGCATTATGGACTGCGTGGTGCGTATCCCCAAGGAGCAGGGCTTCCTGTCGTTCTGGAGAGGAAACTTGGCCAACGTCATCAGATACTTCCCCACACAGGCCCTCAACTTTGCTTTCAAGGACAAGTACAAGAAGGTCTTCCTTGATGGTGTGGACAAGCGCACCCAGTTTTGGAGGTACTTCGCTGGTAACCTGGCTTCAGGTGGTGCTGCTGGTGCCACATCCCTCTGCTTCGTGTATCCCCTTGACTTCGCAAGAACCCGTCTTGCTGCCGATGTCGGAAAGGCTGGAGCAGAAAGAGAGTTCAGTGGGCTGGGTAACTGCTTGGTAAAGATCTCCAAATCTGATGGCATCAAGGGTCTGTACCAGGGCTTCAACGTGTCCGTGCAGGGTATCATCATTTACAGAGCTGCCTACTTCGGCATTTATGACACAGCCAAGGGTGAGTCCATGATGCATTTAAGGTGTCCTCAATGGTATGTGCTGTTGTTGCATTGGTTACATCTGCATTTTTGTCTTTAGGTATGCTGCCCGATCCCAAGAACACCCATATTGTTGTGAGCTGGATGATTGCTCAGAGTGTGACTGCTGTTGCTGGTCTTGCTTCCTACCCCTTCGACACAGTGCGTCGTCGTATGATGATGCAGTCTGGACGTAAAGGAGGTCAGTTGCTCTCTTATTCCATGTTTTCTCCAAATAATCTTAATTTGGGCAGTGGGTTAATCTCGTTTTTTTCTTTTGTTACAGCCGACATCATGTACAGTGGCACAATTGACTGCTGGAGGAAGATCGCACGTGATGAGGGTGGCAAGGCTTTCTTCAAGGGAGCCTGGTCCAACGTTCTCAGAGGCATGGGTGGCGCCTTTGTGCTGGTCTTGTATGATGAGCTGAAGAAGGTCATTTAAATGTTTTCCTGTCCACCATTCAATGTGAGATGTTTAACTGTAACATATCTTGTACATTTGGAAGGACTCTCAAATTCCGCCTTATTTATAGGGACCAACTAGTATGTCAGTACTAGTTGTACTGGGGGAAATTTGTTTTGCGGTTTTTCTTTTGCCCCGTTCATCTCTCCTTTTTGTTCCCCTCACCGTACTGTCATTCCCAGAAAGAAAGAACAAAAGAATGCCAGGTACTAAAATCTACCTGTTTTCCAGCCGGTCTGTTTTTAGTCTTCATCAATAAAGACCCACTGAATGAACCTACACTATTTTCTTGTCCTGTATTTTATTCTAGCTATCGTAGTTCAGCTGTCAGAGTAAATATTGGCCTTTTTTAAGTTTAATCAAACATGCAGTCTCCACCCTTTAAAATAGGGGTCACCAATCTTGGTCCAGGAGGGCCGGTGTCCCTGCAGGATTTTGCTCCAACTTGCCTCAATACACCTGCCTGGATGTTTCAAGTATACCTTGATTAGCTTGTTCAGGTGTGTTTAATTAGAGTTGGAGCTAAAATCTGAAGGACACCGGCCCTCCAGGAACAAGTTTGGTGACCCCTGCTTTAAAAGGTTAGCAAACTGAACTTGGAGGTTGGCTAGGGAGCTTTGCTATGTGCTTTTTGCATTTTACAAACACTTGTGTTAAATTAATTCACAAGACTTTTAGGGGAGTAGGACATTTTCATACATGTTAAAGTCATTTGCAGCTCAGTCAAACTACTGTCACATAGTGTCCAAGTGTTTATTCAAAGACTGGACTTTACACATACCTTTAGACATGTTCCCAGGTGTCGAATAGCAATTTATATCCTGAGATGGAACCTCATACCCTGTTGGCCCTCTGAAGTTGTGCTTGAGTCTAAGCCAAGGACAGCTGAGGGGACACTGGTACCCCTCTGAAATTCACTTCTCCAAGACTCATTTACTTTGAAGGCCTCGTTAGAGCTGCAAGTGTTATGCTGTTTATTTGCATCTGCTTTTTTAGATTTAAAATTTAGGCCAAAGATGCCCAAACTAGTGCCTGTGGGCTAAAGTTGGCCCATGGTAACCTTTTGAATTTGCCCGCCTTCCCATCTGAGAAGGGCGAATGATGGGTTTGCTTTAAAGATTATCATTTAAAAATTAAATGTAGCCTTTTTCTTTTTTGTAGCTTAAAACAAACAAAAAGAGCTGAAATTAAATGTTTTAATATAAATGATGTAATTTGTACTAATGTACATGCTGTCAGCTGATACAAAAGAAAAATGCAGAGACTTTGGTTAGCAAATCAAGACGGGCAGATTCTGCTTGATTAGTGTATTCCGCATTGAACTCCACTGTGTTATAAATGAGTGTTTTTATTGCAATAAGTTAAAATTAAAGTTATTTGAATTCTAAAATAAATTAGTAGTTTACACATGGCAACTTAATGTAAAATAGTTTGGTATATTTATCTGTGGCCCAAGGCTCTAAATGAAATTTGTTTTTTGCCCCTTAATATAAAATAATTTTATATTAAGGGGCAAAATATTGGTGCTTATATTCCTAAAATGTACTACTTAGCCAATGTGTGTTACAAATGCTAAAGAAACCTGAATGAAAGCAAAGGTTATTGCTACAAGCTTAATGACGTTTCTCCCGTGCAATCCCCAATTGGAGAAGGCTACTCGTATGCCCTCTTACGCTAAAAACCTTGGTGACTGCTTAGTAGACATCAAGCTAGTCGTAAATTAGCACACTAATCCGTCCTTGCATCACCTTCACTTCAAGCATGGCGGGTTCCTGAGTACAGTATTACAAGATGTTTAGCAGGGATAAATAGGGGACTGCTTTCTGAATGGGTGCAATGAACTACAGTAGTTAACATGTATAAAGTAGATCAAAACCTTTCACCAAAGTTGTCAAACTATTAAACAACATCCATTTATGTCTTAAGACTATTTTTGGTTATTTTTGATCCACTTTAAATGTTGACTACATGCTGTTTATTAAACTGAGTTTGGATTTTTATTGGGTTAATTTTTTACATACAGGGTTCCCACGCTTCTTGAAAGTGCTTGATTTTCAGACATGAATTCAAGGTTTTGAAAGTACTTTAAAACATACATGGGTCCCTGAAAGTGCTTTAATTTAAAGTTTCTGGTGTTATTTTGCCATTTTTACTATTCTGCTTTCAAAGCCTAAACAAGAATTTCTAAATTTAAAAATCTTAAATTTCAATCTTTTACACGAACTGACAAATAATGCGTTTTATTAACTTTTGAAACTGAATTTGAACATTGACTAATATAATTAATTATATTAAAGTTTTTTGAACATTACTTTAAAACGTTGTTTAAAGCAGGCAACATTTTCAAAAATGACATTCAAAACATTGGGACATTTTAATTTAAGTATTAAATGGAGCTGCATGAATTAAAGGTGCTCAATTAAAAATATTAGTGATTTTTAGAAGAAGTCTTTGAATATGGTGTCCATGAAAGATTGGGAACCCTGTACATATGTAATTAAGTGTCTTTTGTTTTTACATCTTTTACACTATCACTAATATAAATATCAGCATTAATCAATTACAGTTAAGATTATAGTTTTTTCAATAGTGCAAGTGAACTTTTTGTAGTTCTAAACATTGTTTTTTTCTTATGTTCTCTTTTTTTTTTTTTTTTTTTTTTTTTTTTTTTTTTTTTTAAGGATATTTTTTGAAAAATATGATTGAAACCAATGCCCATAGTAGCAACATGCATCGAAAGCGATGGGATAGGTGATTAATGAAACTCAAAAGATTTACAATAATCGGAGGCTGAGCAAATGATCAAGATTCACAAATCACTTATCTATGCACATCGAATATGCCATTTAGGACGCTCCAGTAGCGAAAGGTATTAGGTTTAGTGGAACAAATGACAAAATTCCACATGCATTTCAGGCGCTAACAGGATGAGCTGATTACACAAGAGTCAGACGCGCCGCTGCATGCTCTGAACATAGGCTGTGCTTCTGTCACTCATGTCGGGCGTGACGTAATTCCTGTGGAAGCGGTTCAGACTCGCGCTGGCTGGCAGCAGCAGCTTCTACTCGCTCATCACATGACTTATATAGGTTCAGTCATAGGGCTCTATTTTTACGGGTTTAATCTCCGGCTGGCAGTAGCGGGCAGCAGGCTCTACCCCATCATGTGACTATAGCGGTTTAATCAGATGCCAACTGCCTGAGTGAACCTGCAGGGTTTCTCGTCTCGGCGGCTGATCCTGCTGTAATGGATGTACAGTATTATCTTTACTCAACCATTAGTGACTCGAGTTTGACATGGATTTGGTTCAAAAACAAAAAACATTCTAATTCCATTTCCCAGCAGGTTAAAGTGTTACGCCAGCAGGAGGCAGAGTTGTGTGTTATGAATTCATATTTTACAGTGTACGGCAGTGGTCTCAAACTCAATTCCTGGAGGGCCGCAGCTCTGCATAGTTTAGCTTCAATCCCCTCCAACTCACACCTGCTTAATAGTCTCTAGTAGACTTGAGCACTTTGATTAGTTGGATAAGCTGTATTTGATAAGGGTTGAAGCAAAACTGTGCAGAGCTGAGGCCCTCCAGGAATTGAGTTTGAGACCCGTGGTGTACGGTTATGAGTTTGTGATGATGTTTGTACTTTACATACCATAGAATAAATGTTTGTCCAGAGGAGAACTGGTCATGCAAAGCTTTTTTCTTCACTTCACTTTTCTTGAATTGGTAACGTTTGTTCCTCAGCTTGTTCCACAGGCTTGCTTTGTTTGGGATTTGTGGAGCTGCGCATCGGTGGAGTTCCTCTCAGTGTTTCAGCTTTCAGCAGGACATTTACATTACACAGAACTTCAATTGTGACACCTGAACTGAAGCAGCTTCATTTTACTAGAACTTCCTCTATGTTAAGCTGATTTGACACAATCTAAATTAGAGATGCCCAAAACTGGCCCATGGTAACCTTTGATATGGCATTCCATCCCATCTGAGAAGAGATGGAGAATGATGGGGACGCTTTAAAGATCGTCAATTCTACTTTAATGTAGCACTCTCTTTGTTTTATTGTTTAAAGCAAACTGAAATTAAATGTTTTAATTAAACTGGTGCTCGAACAAGTGACGACGAAGAGGCGACAGCACGACTCACTGTGCCACCGTGACACCCATAATTTGAATTTACATTTGTATTTAAATATATTATTTAATTAAATTAATTTAAGGATAATATTTTGACTTATTTCATCCCACTTCTATATTAATTATTTTATTAATATTATTAGATTGTTTTGACTCTGGTTTAATTGTGTTTTTGTAACTAAGATATTTGTTATTTATTATTACTTGTAGCATTGTTGCTTTATTAATTAAATTATTTATTTGTATTTACTTTTACTTAATTCGTTCTTTAATTAATTTTTCTTATTCATTATTCATTTTAACTTAGTCCCTTTTTTAACTAGGGGTCGCCACAGCAGAATGAGACGATCGTGTTACCCACTGCGCCACCGTGACACCCACTTTTACTTTATTAAAAAAAAAAATCTCCAAAGATTTTCCCTAGGAGTCCTAAAAAACTACTATAAAAATATATTGAGGAAATGTTGTCAAAGTTAAAAGGTTATTCATTGAGGCTTATAGACCATTTCAATGTGGTCATTAGCCCATGAACATTTCCTGCATGTTATCAAACTATTTCATAATTGTAACAGGAGGCAATTCAATCATAATGTAATGTTATCAATATGTGGCTCTTTTTTAATTCTCGTAGAAATTAGAAATGTAAAACAGTGACCCTGTCACATAAGCCACATGAATAAAGCTGAATCACAGTGGATACAGAGCTGTATCATGCTAGGCAGACAGGTGATAGTTAAAAACTGCAAATCTTCCAGTAGACCTCCGATCTTCGAGTGGATCTCAGAGTTAGGACGAGTTGCAGCTTTTGAAAAACTCTCCTACAATACATGGAAGGATTGAATTTTTTGTTGATGAATGGGGAAATTTTCAAAGTTTCTGCGACCCACAATGTTACCAAACGTGTAACCAGAGACAAAATAATAATTGAGGCTACAATATTAGCAATCCCGCCCCCAACCCATTTTTTTCCTTGTATGTTTTTTGGTTTGGTTTAATGTTCTGTATTTGACATTCATGTGCATTATTTGAAAAAGGAAAAATCTATAAAAAATTTAAATCATAAAAAAAATGTAAACAGAAAATATCCTTGGACCATTGTTTTTGTTTACATTCCTCAAGATGTTGATGTGTTCAAGATGTGTTCCTGTCAAATTTATGAAACATATAACGGGTAATGTTACATTATGTGTCATTTTAGAAACAAAACCCTGCATCTGTACCTCTTTGTAGACACATAAACTCATCCGTGGAGCGCCTCCCTGCGTCGAAGTGAAGGAAAAACAAATAATAAACTTACTGTTTGCTTCGTTTTATGCCTCATGTTGGCTGCTTAAACTAAGTATTTTCATTGTGCTTATTTTTATAATCTTACATCCACAGTAAACCTCCCTCAATAATTGTTTTTGAAAATAATTTGTTTAAAAATGGTTTCATCCACACACCACACAAAATAGCCTACTACGACATATTAAAGTGCACCAATCACATTACAATCCCAAGTTCCTCAAACCAGAAACATTTACCTTCCGGTTCCCCAGGCAGTTATTAGAATCTCGTCTGTCTAGATGAAAGCAGGAGTGGAGAGAGTTGAACGGTTGCGTTGATTTGGACGAATGAAGAGCTCAAATGCGACGGAATTTCCTGCTGAACCTGAACCTTTTGTAAAATGTACAGTTGGCGGTGCTTCCTCGCCATCATATTTGTGCTCGTCTGGTACTTCTCAGAGTTTGGGCAGATATGGACACAAGCTTTCTTCTGTTTTGTATGCCTTTTCAATTTCCCTTTTAAAAAGCAAGACCGTGAACGAAGCACTCAGACGGATGATACGCTTGAGGAAACAATTCAGCAGGTAACCATCATTGATTGCTATTTATTAGTATATACTTTAATTAATACAATTTAAAATTACCAGAACTTCTATGTTAAGCTGCTTTGACACAAACTACATTGTAAAAGCGCTATAGAAATAAAGATGAGTTCAATATTAATGTATACTAACTATTACTATACTCTTAACGAATGTAAGTTGGGAACAGGAATATGAACACTTATGCTGTTATTAACTATTATTTGGAACATGTGCATGGAGTTGTTGACATGTTGTAAAATCTAATCTGACTGGTAACTATGTTATAATGAATAGTTGTTAGTTGCTGGTTGACCAGTTTCTAAAACCAGTTTGGTTTCGTTAGAATGGGATTACCAGTTGATTCTTGATAATCTCTCATCTAAACAACCATTGTTTCCATCTAAAAACAAAACAAATATTTTTACATGGTAATACGATACATGCAGTGCCCAGCATTATTGAGTACACCTCATTTTGAAAATGAATATTTTGATCAATTTCTCAGTGAATATAGGCAATGTATTTTGGTGCATTTTAACAAAACAGATTTATTAAACAGATATATTTTTTAAAATGATATTTTAGTCACCAAACATATTTAGAAATTTCAAGATAATACAATTAAATTCAAGCAATATATTGCAAAAATTACAACCCACAAAATTTCAACAAATTTTCTTTTCTTTTTTTTCTTTTTTTTTTTTTGCTTCTCTTGATTTTTCCTCTTTAAAATTTTTATGTAATATTGTTCTATAACATAATTTTGGATGTACTAGTTTTTGGACCGTTATCATAAGTTATTTTGTTAGATAAGCTCCTAATTTGGCTTCAGTACTGACTAATTTAATGTATATATACAAATATAATATTGGTTAGCTTCCTATTAAAAATATGAATTAATTACAAAACACATTGAAAGATTAATTTGGGAAGCATAATCACCACAGAAGACTAACAGCAGAGTTACTAAATTCCCTAGTTAACACCAGTTCTTGTTCTCACATATAAACAAAAGCCACCAGGCTGCTTTTAGTTCCTAAAATCTGTATGTAGTGTCTTCAAGAAACCCAGCAAAGCTTTTATTAACCTAATTTTGGTATTGATGACACGAATGTCACACATCCTCAGTAAAATTACTGGAAGTTATAATCCTTTACACCTTAATCATCCTGTTTCAGGTAAAGATAAGTCACAGATTGGCCAGCGATGAGACTGATGATGGAGCCAGACAAGCTGATCCTCAGACTACACAATGTCCAAATGTGCACCGGTCACTTCTCCAAGGTAAATAATCATTTTGTTGCTTACAAGCTTCACACCCGTTGAGCATGTCTAGAGATAAGAACCGAAAGAATTCTCATGACACTTTTTGTTTTGTATTTTTGTAGTAAACATGACAGTGCGCTGATTATCAGATCATATGATAACGTTTCATAGGTTTGTGTGGCTGATCTCAGGAAATGCCCTTTTCGTTTCTTTACCAAAGTTGGTAGATGTACATGGTATTACAAGCAGGGTTCCCACACATTGACTGACTTTACATTCAACCACTATTACAGTTCAAATACCCTTAAAATCCAATACTGTCTATCACATAAAAAACTCTCTAACTCTAGCACTAAATTCTCTGAGCACTAACAAGTTCCTTTGTATAACTAGCACTTCATGTGTGTATTAAATCTTTTTGCTGAATCGCTGAATGCCTTCTCAATTGTAAGTCGCTTTGGGCAAATGTAATGACCAACGTAAATTCACACATGTAATGTCAAGTGAGAACAAGTTTATATTATCTTTCCTTGTAAGTTATATTGTTTCAGTTTTCATGTGTCAAACACAAGGATGCAAAATAGCTTCATTTTTTTTCATTTAATTTAATTTTGGCCATATGACCGAGATCTGATATTCTACTGTTCGTATTCCTTGTTTTGCATAAAACTGAAGAACATTCAGTACATCCTATACTGCATTTTCAAACAATCCTATATTAACCTTTGTGTAGATTACATTTGAAAGAGCTTATTGGTTCATGTCCCCATACATGAATATGCTTTTAAGTTTTCTTGCCGTTTGAACTTGGCCATAACTTTCACGTGCTCATGAACCTCTGTTGCCTAAATACTTAATTTAATGAAACATGGAATTGCTTTTCTTGTTAAGATAAGTCATGGCCAAGTACAAATCATAGTAACTCTCATAGGAAACACTAAACATTACTCGTAAATGTGCATAACGGAAATAAAGCAAGCAATGCAGCAAAAAATAAATTCAATCATTTTCAAGGACCTGAATTCAATTCAATTCAATTCAGCTTTATTTGTATAGCGCTTTTACAATGTAGATTGTGTCAAAGCAGCTTCACATAAATGGTCATAGTAACTGAAACAGTGTAGTTCAGTTTTTTGTGTTTAAGTTCAGTTCAGTTTAGCTCAGTTCAGTGTAATTTGAAATCATTACTGAGAGTTCACTGTATCACTGTTTATTTATTTTCACAAAACATTTAGGGCCCTGATTTTATTTTTCTTCAGGTTAATTAACTTTTAAGGACCCTGAACCCTGTACAAGAGATTACTACAACTGTGTAATTATATTTATGCTTATTGTTTTTTGCAGTGTTTAAATATGCCTATCTTCACCTGATCCAGCCATGGTACAACGTCCCAGAACTTGTCGACAGTCAGCCCCTTCATAGGGCACTACAGAAGGAGTTCAATCTGGTTGTGGAGAAAGTCATTTGTAAGGCCAAAAACTTTGATCTGTCGTCTACCAGTGTGGGTTGTATTCGGATTCTTACTCAACATCTGCACAGTGCAAAGCTGTCAGACAGGTAAGCATATTTGTCTTTGTCGTCACGTACGCCCTATACATCGTGAGGAAATTATGACTTAGTCTGACGTGAGTGACATCATGTTATGGTATTTCTTTTTTTTTGTTTCGTGCATTCTGGAGACCACATGCAGAACTCTGGTCTTGTGATTCTTGAGCTCATGTTTTAAAACCTGTGCCAAAACTTGTGGACTTTCCATCGTAACTCATGACGGATCATCTGAGGCAGTTCCAGGAATATTGCTACTAAAATGAGTCAGTATGTTAATTGGACTTTTTTTCTTGTTGTTTACTTTAGGCCTCCAGCGTTCAGTTCAAGGTCTGAGGAAATGGCAGTCCTCAGGACTTTCTCTGAAGCTCTAGTGCGAAACCTTTTCCCTGAGTACCTTTGGGAACCAAAACTCTACCAGTGTCTCCTGACTGAGATTTTAGCAACAAAAGGTTTGTCCTACTGACCTTTGTTTGCACACTTAACATTTTCTATAGATCTTTTTAATGATCGGAACATTCCAAGCATTTATCAGGCATCATTCATTCCACAGAGTGGAACTGTATCTCTAACACAAACATTCTTTATCACTTATTGCTTCAAGCATTGTTTCAGCACACTTTTACTATTTAAGACTAGTACATCTACATTTTTTGTGCCTCAGTACAGGGATGCATCAATAAAAAAAACTGCATTTCATTAAAAAAATCTAAATTACATTTATTGGCTGTGTTATGAGTGTTTATGTGATATTTGTGTTGTGATGTCTGCAACATATTTATCTATATTTATATACATGCAAAATATATTAGATACAAGTAACTGTTTTGTGACTAAAAATAAAACTTTTGTGGCAAAATATAGGAGAAATGTTGAACATATACTTTACCGGTCAAAAGGGTGTCAGTAGGAGTTTTAAAGTAAGCTTATCCTGCTCACCAAAGCTGCATTTATTTAATTAAAAATACAGTGCAAATTGTAAAATTGTGAAACGTTTTTGCATTTTAAAATAACGGTTCAAAAGTAGTTTACAAATTAAATTGAATAATTTATTCCAGCAATTTCAAAGATGAACTTTCAGCTCTATTACTCCAGTCTTCAGTCACATGATCCTTCAGAAATCACTCTAATATTAACTATGGTTATTACTATTATTATCATTATTATTAATAGTATCATTAATACTAATAGTAATAAAAGCAATAATGACTGGAGTAATATTTGCATTTGAAACTACATATAATAAGTAATAATTAAATATTTCAAAATGTAATTTTTTTCCCCCCATTTTAATAAATGCCGCCTTGATGAACTGACCCCAAACTTTTGACCAGTAGTGTATATTTATGTAAAAATGAGCAAGATAAGTAATGGATAAGTTGTTATTTTTGTGCAGTACTAATTAGAATTCATATTTTTACTAATACAGTCATCTTTATTTATTTTTTTGGTTCCTCCTGGTGTTGCTCTCCAGCACTTGATGTGCTTGTGAAATGCCTTTGTAATCCAGACACCCTGAATCACATGATTGTTTTGCAAATGGACAGAGTAACTCCTAAAAGTTCAGTTGGAGACCTGCTCAACTCAGATAGAGAAGGCACGCCATCCTCCACTGGTAGTGAAGAAGCAGAAGTGTAAGTCATCTTAATACTTGAGGGAATTTCTCACTGCGGTTATCTCTGGGTGAAAGGATATAGTGTACAGTGTCAACATTTCACATAAATGACACAGACACAAAATAAGCAATGTCACCTTTAGAAGTAAACATATCCATACTGAGGAATAATCATGAATAACCCAAGATTTTAAAGAGTGAAAAGCCCTTTAGTATATTTCTCAATTTAATTTGGGTGCATTTTTTTGGGTTTTAACCTTGAGGATTGAAATTCTACAGATTGACAGACGACGCTGATGATGGTAGATCTGAAGACATGAAAGACAAGAAGAAGGGTGATGTATCTTTCATCTTGCTAATTTAATTTGGGACCAATAGAATAAGGTGCAATTTAATTATGTTTTTTCTCATGACTTGATTCTCTGTTTTATTAGCAGGTAACAAGTTCAAAGAACACTTCTCTAAAATGTTTGATAAAGTCAAGGCAAGGAAGGCCAAAAAGAAAAAACTTAAGAAGATGGAGCAAGAGCTTCTATGTTATAGGGCTAAATCTGCACGCAGATCTGCTGTCATTGAAGGTGATGGTGCAATCAGCAGAGATGGGTCTATGGGAAGCCTGCTGGACTCAGATTATGTAAGGAAAATTCCAGAAAATATAAACAGTGAATTGATTTATGAAGTTCTTGGTGCAGCCGAGTCTCCCTGTGCTTTCTTTTTAAGGACAGCGAAGCGGATGTTTACCTAACAACTGTCCAAGAGGATATGATGGAGTTTAAGCTTTCATACGAGATGTGGCGCGTGGGGAAGTGGGCAGTCCATGTTACAGATGTAAGGTGTACACGGAAAGCTAAACAATGTGCAGTTTAAGTTGATGTGTATTGTTTAAAGTAAATGAATTGTCATAGGTTAAGAAGGAGGATGAAGAGCTTTGTTTCACTGTTCACCTCGCAGAGAGCAGTAACCCTGAGAATCTCCACTGGGATGTGAAAAAGACCCAGTCAGATATACTCCATTTTCATAGCCTCTGGCAGGTGAGAGAGGAAATGGTGAGAAATTTGTGCATCCAAAACTATTTCGGAGCTGTACTGTAGGTATACTATTTTAATATTTGCAAATAATGTAGTTCCCTGCATTTAAAAACAATGTTATTATTTTTAGGATACTTCCACTTTACCTTCTGTATCTGCAATAGTTGAGAAAACAAAGAAGGAACTTGATGAGGCATATGCAGAGGAAGTTAAATCAGCATTGGAGCACTTTTTACAGGTAAGTCGGCAGACACACTTTTCAAACTTTAAGAGAGAGCTTCCTGTAGAAATACATGATTTCCGCTGGTTTCTTTGCAGGTGTTGGTCTCCGATGAACAGCTTGGTCACACTCAGCCTGTATTTCAGTTCTTGTGTCCGTTTGCACGGCTGCTGAATGATAAGGAACATGAAGGGGGTGTCTGGACTCTTCTGAATGGACTTGCAAGCTTCCTGACTCCTGGCCATGATGAAGAGGAGGTAAAGGCAGACTTAGTGAATAGCCTGAACTGAAACTAATAATGCGCTGCTAAAAATGTTTGGGGTTGGTTAAACTGCCATTTTATTTAGCAAGAAGTCATTAAACAAGAATGCCTGTTTTAGAATACTGCTACTTGATAACTTTGGAAAATAACCAAAATGACCATATTCAGGTTTTCCACACATGTCAGCATAGCTGTTGTTATCATCCGCATTAAAGGTGCAGTAGGTGGTTGTCTTCAGAAACATTTTTGTTGTACTGGTTGAAACACTCTACCCATTACAGAAGTAATGATTAAAGTAAATGATCCAAATGTATTTTTATGTATTTTTATATTCTGGATAGGGCATAAAACTGAAGAATGTTCATCCAATTAACATTTGTTGGGCCGATAATTTCCATAATAAAAGTGACAGCAGTAAAAACAAATGCTGAATCAAAAGTTTTTTTTAAGTCCTGAATCAATATTGAAGTTACAATGCGTGGAAACATAATCAACAGATAAAGTTATTTATATTCTGGCTCTGCATTGAACTGGACATTATGGATGAAATTTGTACAAATGTTCTACTAAATGAATAAAAAAACAAACACTGATATAAATATCTACTCATGTACAGAAGGTTGAACAAGGTGGCAGAGAATTAGCTAAAACTTGTTTAGGGAAAACAAACATTGTTTACTTCACAAGTCAGTTTAACAGTGAAGGGATTGAATATGATGGAAGATTGAGAGGGGTCTGGATGCAGACCTGTTGCAGTGCAATCTGAGCTACATCCAATGCTTTTTAATGCGCTCACCTAACCCCACCCCTAACCCTACCCGTCACAGTGACATCACTCACTCCATTGAGTGCATTGTGTCTGACATTGCATCGCTGAGTGATGCAATCTCAGCTTGCATCATAAAGGCTGCATCCAGATACTATTGGGAAGATTTGCAAAGAAGGTTCATGCTAACTTGTAAAAGTTTTTTGTAGTAGTTTTAAAATGCAAAAATACAGTATTTTATTTTGATTCATGTTTTGGCTGCTGTATTTTGTAGTTTATTTTGATGCACCTAAAATTGAGGTATTTGTTATTTTATTTTAAAATACATTTCAATGTATTTTGTCTATCCCTGTTTGGGTCAATATACTGTACATGCAGTCTGAAAAATGAAAAATATGGACAAACCTAACAGTGGGGTTTTTTTACAACAACCCAACATTTAAAGACTTAATATCTTGTTCAAATACATTGTGTGTTTATATATTACTAAAGCAAATATATTGTAAATATATACCATATTCATTTAGCTAGAAGTGCCTTTTAGTGCCAGAAGCATGTAAATGCTTGAGAATGCTGCCATCATGTGGTGATGTACTTCATTTGTACTATGTTCTTTCCCAGACCCATAACTCCAAAGGAGAGGATAAGGCTGATGAAGCAGGAGCATCAGGATTTCACACTGGACCGTCAGCACAGCCAGCCTGCATCGACACAGTTGAGGAGCCAAAGGGCAGCATTACAGAAGGGCCACTGGCTACAAAGTTTTCTATCCCTTATGAAGAGACTGACCCCTTCAGAAGTAGAGAACAAGATATGGACTACAACGATGATGATCAAGATGTGGTTTCTGATGGACAGGACAGTCTTACAGAAAGCTTGGATAGCTTTGTTAATAGGTCAAAATTAGTTATTCCTACAGCATATTCCAATGACATCTCAAGCTCAGTCACAGGTTCTACTGAATCCCTGCAGATTGACTCAGCCGATGGCCTTAGAAGTGCTCAGTCTGGGGGTAAAACGCACAAAAAGGAGAAGTTATCTAGCAAAAAGTCAAATGGACCTCAAAAGCTTAAAGTGAAAGAGAAAACTGCACAGCTCAAGGAAGAGACGACAAATCAGCCTCAACCTCAGAAAAGGGAATCCCATGGCAATTGGGAGCAGGTTGAAGCCACTAAAGCTGTATTTGATTTAGTCAAGGAAATAACTGGTATGATTTTCTTCCTTTGTCCTTTTTGGCCTTTAGGGTTGACTAGAAATGAAACTGAAAGACTTTCTTTACTCTTTTTTTTAGGTAATTCAGTCCTCATTAACATTGTTGATGCCATTCTAAAACCAGTCCAGCCTTTGGTGAAGAAGTAAGCCATTTTATATCTATCCAAAACACATCTACTCAATAAGTTGTTTGGATCTACAGCTAAAGATAAGCATTCTTTCAATGCAGGAAAATTAACAGCTTTTTAAAAAGGATGCATCCCACTGAAGCTCAGATTGCATCCTACATCGACAGTTTCCGGGAGACGATGTGGCCAGAGGGAAATGTGCCTTCTCCCCAGCCACCGAGGGAAAGCGAGGAGAAAAACGAGACAAAGGAAAAGGCTTTGCAGCTTATAAATTCAAAATGTAAGTACACATTTTTCCATGCCTTTCATACTCTGCTTCTTCATTCTTCTAATTGTTGTGGTGGTTTTAGACTCAAACTCTCTGATCCTCAAGAAGACCGATGTGGAAACTGTGTTTAAGATCTTTCAGGACACGGAGGAAAACAAGAAGCTGGTCTATGTAAGAATTTTAACTATGTGGATTATTATTACTTTTTTTAGTTATAAATAAAATGCCATGAATATCCAATAAAATTATACCAATATTTACATTTTATGTTCATTGTGTGTCCACAGATGCTGCTTTCATACATTTTAAGGGAGTTCCTACCGGGAGAGCCTGCATTCAGTGCAAAACCTAATCTAACTAGATCGAAATCTAAGGATTTTGTTTTATAATATGTGTTTTTGAGTATATATTTTAACAATGCCAATTGTTTTTAAAATGTGCATTATTTAATATTTTATATGAAGTTTTATATATAATGTATTCTGACATACCTCAGAGAGATCAGCCTTTCAATTTACTGAGCAGCATGAACATTTATATTTTGTATTTTGCAATTATGCAGCCTTTTTTAAACAAATGTACTGTGATTATGTTCAGCAATGTCACTATCTTGGGTGTATATCTTAAACATCTTTTTTAATAATGATCACTAGATATTTAAGTTCACTTTTTGTTTTGTACATTAAATTTGAACACTGTGAAAAAACTGTTTATTCTATACATTTTTAAAATGACACAGGTTGACTCAGGACAAAACAGATAATAGGAATATTTTACTTACCATGATTTTAAAAGACTGCAGAATCAATACAGGGTCTGTGAGGAATGTATTAGAATAATAGCATTACCAATAAATATATTTTACTACTAAATGCGAGACCCTTTATTTTACTTTTTGCCTTTAAAATGCAATATAAGCAGCTCTAGTATTTGTTCTTTGATAGTTTCAATATTGTTTGCTCCGGTACTTACCATTTCTGTCAAACCTATGACGTTACTATGCTAGTTCGCTACAACGAGAGGGTTTGTGTTAAACCGCTTTAAGCTTATTTATGCGTAATGTTCAAACAAAGTTTTTGAAAAAACGATGCTTAATTTCTGTCACAAGTTTAATGAAATTTAAAGCAAGAATATGTTTACATGTGTGAAAAAGAAAGCTCAATTTTGTTTCATGAAACGTACACCTCCATGTGTACACCCCCATGTTATGTTGGTATGATCCAGTCCCCGAGAGACGGGCTTGGAGAAAACAGGCAGGAGGATCCAAGAGAGCGAACGGCTAACAACGATATTTAACAGAATCCACGTCTCCTGAACCCAAATAACTAAACTTTATTCAAAGAAACAACGTCGAAACCTTATGTTTACGTCTCGGTTCTCCAAGTAAGCCATGTCAACCCCAGCAAGACGGCGTTTGATGAGGGATTTTAAACGGTAAGAGAAAATGCTAAAGGGCCTCGGTTGCTTTATGAACACCGGCTGCTCTTTGCCTTTAACATGGCGACTTTTTCCCCTCACGGAAGATATTTAGAACTATAAGTATATCTTTACTGTTTATATCTGGATGTCATATTTAACCTCGTCGTTATATAGGTGTAATGTATATCATATAAATGTACTCTAATTATTTTTTTTCTTTCTTTTTAACGTTAGTCTCCAAGAGGATCCTCCAGCCGGAGTTAGCGGAGCTCCATCAGAAAACAACATCATGGTCTGGAACGCTGTCATTTTTGGGTTGGTGTCATTTCCTTTCTATTTGACAACTGTAAAAATTAAACCCACCACATTGATATATTTGTTTATCTCAGCCTATTGGAGGTCTGTTAGCTGACGTCCAGCTTGTTAGCGGTAATATAAGCGGTTTTAAATAGGCCAGATGGCCAGTGTTCCTCCATAAGAGGTGCTGGTTATTTGATCTTGAAGTGACGCTGTCCTGAATAAAGCTGTGTTGTGTAGTGTTGTGCTGAAGGAAATGGTTATAATGTCATTTCCGTAGACTATTGTGCCTTGTTATTTTTGGATTACTGTAATGCGCAGCTCTCTTGCACGTCGGCCGGTGATTTTGGCTTTGTTTCTTGCTGTCATGCCAAGTGTTGTGTGTAACCTGACATGTTGACCCATTTTTCTACCTACAGGCCTGAAGGAACACCTTTTGAAGATGGTAAGTCAACAAAACAAAGATTTTTATCAGTGTTAATGTGAAAGTTTGGGGTTGGTAAGATTTTTGGAATATTCTTGAGTAGTCAAATATGTTGCTCACAGTGCAGCATTTATTTGAGCAAAAATACAAAATACATACCCGTGTATGTTCGCAAATCTAATTAAGTGTTTTCTGAAAGGCTTTGCTTTATTTATTTAAAAAAGCATACATTTTTTGCCATGTTTCATTATTTCTTTGTCTGAACATGTCATTTGTTATGAAGTTATTATTCTTTTTTAAAGAGCCATTAAACACCGTTTCAGCAGGGTGTTTTCACACCTCTAGTTTGGAAAAAGTCAGGAAAGTGGGTGTGTCTTGCTGTGTTTAGGTGGGAGTGTCGGGGGAGGGAAAAGAGCAAAGGATTTTAATAAAAATGTGAGTTTCCATTTCGGCACGAGCTGATTTTCACGGAGGAAAAACAAACACACAGGTGCAGGGGAGAAAGACAGTAACTGTGTTTAATGACAGTGAAATGTTTGATACCGCATGTCGTATAAGAGAAAAAAACCTCTGCATTTCTCTGTAATTCAGATGCACTCGGTAGGTCAGAAATGTGTGTGTAGACTTTCCTGTTACAAAATGTGGCGAAAATTCAACACGAGGGTCGGTAATAATTAGCTTGCAGTGTTTACATGTTTTCACTCGAAGAGAGCAGCATTTACAGCAGATCTTCTAGGCCATAATATTGTTGTGACATTAACGTTCTGTAAACTAAGTAACTTAGAAATCATTTTAACTAAGGTTTGTCTTTAAACACTGAAAAAGTACTGCTGACAATACGAACTATAACTTGGCCATCTGAATGAACAAAGAAAGGGCACTGATCGCACACACTTACCAAATATGTAGAGACAGGACAATCAACACATACTTGAGCTGCTTCTTTTTTAAAAGGAGACAAGCAGCAAATCTGGATTTCACAATTTCCAGATGCGAAAAGCTCTTGAGTAAAAAGAATGTTTCGTACAAACATATTTCTGCCGCATGTTGTATGCACTATAATCCACACATGAGTCCAGTTGCGTACTCCTAGCTGGAAAATGAAAACAAAACCTTCTTTGCAGCACATTATAAAAGCAACACTGACGACCCATATCTCTAAACAATTCTTCTTTTCCCATTTGTTTTAGCAACACAACGTGTCGTCTCTCTGCCGTCTCAACACTGTTTCACATAAAAACAGTCTTCAAAGCTATCATGCATATTGATGAATTCGCTAGCATACACAATAGAGCGCTCTGATGGTGCGAACCAAGTCTTACTCATGAATGAATGCAGCACACTCAGAGACGTAATAAGGCACTCCCAGGTATAGACGTCCAGTCTACATGCTGATATACACGCTAAGATCTCATGGCCATGACGCAGCTTCAAAAATTTGTTTCAAACAGGAAGTACGAATTTGCTCGAAATAATGCAAAAACAAGCAATTTTCACTTTTTAGTGAAAAATGTCTCCTAATAGAGTTTTTAGCAGTGTGGGAAACATAAACGACTGTCAACAGCTCAAAACATTGTTTTGCTGTTTCGTGACCCTTTAATTTTTAACCAGAACGCACAGTATTGTTTTTAGAGCACATCCGGAAAACAGTTATTTCAACAGTTATTTTATTATGCAAAACATTCCAGAGTTGTGTCAGTGAGTGTTTATTTCCAAGTATTGAATGCACAATTACTTTAAAAACTGTGTATTTTAAAGTGAGGTCAAAAATACACAAAACATGATCCCTCTAGTGAGGATTTAGAACATGAAAATAATATTTGTAAGTTTTTTTAATGCAGTTCATTCAGTCTTACTGACCCCATTGCTTTAAACATTAATATACCCATAGAGGTAAAGTTGGTTTTATATTCGCACTTGCGTTCATTTAGCGGCCTCTATATTGTTTACCATGGTACTTTGAATATTCGATCAGATTTAGCATGCAATTATGACTTGTAAACAGCATTAACACTATCTAATTGACTGTGAACATGTCAATTTGTTAATAACTAATTTGTTGTAGTTTGATTGTCATTTGCTGCTAATATGATTTCCCTATTTAGAATTTGCAAAGAAAACTTTCCTGGAATTATATTATTAAGAAGAATGTCTGAATATCCAAATATAAAACCAACTTTACCTCTATAATATACCCCAATGCAAATTACACTGGATTTGAATGTGTGGCAAATTCTCTTGACTTTTACTGTTTGTAATTGTGTATAGAGGTATATGTGCCATGCTTTTTTTGTCAACAAGTGACAGATGGTTTTATCTCATGTTCTTTTCCTGTTTGTGATAGGAACTTTCAAACTCACAATAGAATTTACAGAAGAATATCCTAACAAACCTCCTACAGTTCGGTTTGTCTCCAAAATGTTTCATCCTAATGGTAAGTTTACAATCAAAGTGATTTTTATATTTGTAAAATACTTGCACTTTAGACATTTAAATCTCTGGAGCTCCTCTATTTTTGATCGTAAAGTTTTTTACATTGAAGGACATGATTTAAGATGGTTAAAAGTCAAACTTACACTTTCTTTAGATCTGGAAACTTAATCTAGTAAGATCTTATTTAGGTTTTGGCCTTAATTTTAATGCAGTTTCAGAGTAAAATATTCAGGGAAATACATATTTTGTGTGTGTTTCAAATGGTACCTTTTTTATTTGTAATATATCCATAATTTGTCAAGTGTCTTTAAGACTATATGCATGTATGTGAATGCAACGTAAAATCAAAAGAATTTGATAAGAGTCCTACACTTAAAACAGGTAATTAATAAATACTAACTAAATATAATTTTGTACTATGAATTCCCCTAAAATGCAAACAATTAAATGAAAAATGTTCATCAATATAAAATAAAGAACAATAAATTTACTGGGATTTAAAAAAAATCATATTTGTTCGCCAATTAAGGGGCCGATCACGCCAAACGCACTTTATGCCTTGTGAGGTGCCTTTTTTGAATGGTTTACTAACGTCTGCAATTCTTTTGTGTGCTGCTTATGCGCCCTGCACATATTCGTATTTTTGCCCTTGTGCGCTGTGCGCATGCGGTTGAAAAAAAGTCAACTCTGAGCAGAAAAAGCACGTTACGTCAGTCGTGTCTGTTTCATTCTCCAAATAAATGAAAGCAGAGGCGGGGTTTTTATTGAGGTGCCTGCAGTGTTTATGTTGTCAAGACAAGAAGGAAGACTTTTGAAGATGGAAGGGGAGACTTGTGGTTGCTGTTCTGAGTTATATGGAGCTGTATCACTTTACAAATCTTGAATATCACAATACTGTTAGATATAAAAGTTATATTAATATCAACAGCAACACTCTCGCAAAATACCAATCTTATTCAGTCGTTGCCTTGCGACAAAAAACGCACCGCGCTCCTTTTTTTCTTGTCAACAAAAAGGCAGTGCAGTGCGCCTCGAGTTTTTGGAATATTGTGTTATTCAGGCAAAAACACAAGGCGCAGCAGCCAGTAAAAACGCGAGGCACGCATAACCATAATTTTTTTCATTTGTTCTCCCTACTTTACTATTGTTGGCTGTTTTTGCCCTATTGACTTCCATTATAACCACATTTCTTTGATTACACAACCACGATATCATATAATCCTGCATTTTTGATTGTTGGTGGTTTTCCCTGTTGGAAAGAGGTTGAATTTGTCATTTTTACTGTTGATCATCAGTTGGCATCATTAACCCATTAGATACTTCTGTGCAAAAAAAAGCTTCGTTTCTGGATTTTATATGGAGTACAGCACATTAAAGTGTGTGTCTGTAAGTGCGAAAGTGACCCTTACGCACCTACCTTGATGTGTCTGAGAAAATCAAAAACTGTGTATTTATGCACCCTCAAATGTGGTTATAATGGAATTCAATGGAGCAAAAACGGCAACCAACAGTAAATTAGGGAGAAAAAATGAAAATCTAACAATTCATCAAAGCCAGTGTTATTCCTAATCATTCACATGTATAAACATTTAGTAGTTTTGATCAGGACTGAGGTGGATTTTTAAGATTTATGCCAAAAAAATTAAATATATATATATTTTATATATATACAGCAGTTCAATTCAGTGGATGTTTTTTTTTATCTCAAACATATTGCAAGGGTAGTACATTTGAACAGTGCAAAAGTAGTATTGGTTGCTAGTAAAAAAGCAACTAGGAAATGGCTGGATGAGAATCTACCTACCAAGAAAGTGATTGTTAAACGATATATTTGATATGGAAAAAATGAATCTTTCTCTTAAACACAAAATGGATAAATTCAATCATAATTGGTCGAATTATATTTTCTGCTGCTGGTCTTGCTCTTTATACTCCTACATTTATTTCTGAAGAAGAGGGGTAAACGCTGTAAGTGACATCTCTGGTGACCTGTTTCTTCTGTTCTTTGTTTTATTTGACTTGAATTGATTTTTTTTTTGTTAAAATTTAAAAAAAAGTGGAAAAATCATGAGAACCATTAAAGACTATTAAATTTAATTGAAATTTGTAGCTTGTAAATAACAAGGAAACACCTTATTTGAATTTAAATGTATTATCTGCCTATTCCTAAATGTGTAGGGTGATCACAATCTTATTTTAATAATTATAACTGTTTTAAATGCACAAACGGTGTGTGTATAAAGACTTCAAATGTAATCGTCTTCCTTTTATTCCTTTAGTCTATGCAGATGGTAGTATATGTTTGGACATTCTTCAAAATCGCTGGAGTCCAACATATGACGTTTCCTCAATATTAACCTCAATACAGGTATACACTCAATACAGGAATACGTTTTGATGATACCATACAAGAAACAAGGCCATTATTCAGCTTGTTAACATGCTTTTCACTTGTCACAGTCTTTACTGGATGAGCCGAACCCAAACAGCCCTGCCAACAGCCAGGCAGCTCAGCTGTATCAGGAAAACAAGAGGGAGTATGAGAAACGTGTGTCGGCCATTGTGGAACAGAGCTGGCGTGACTGTTGACCCACCTTACAGTTCACATATGAACAATAGTCCGCCTCAGCCAACGAGAGGAAAACCACCTTGCAAAGAATAAAATAAAACACATCATGTTTTGAATCATTCTCCACTTATTGGTAGAATTGTCTGTTCTGTAGCTGTTGCAAGATTAGAGTGCTGTTGTGTTGTGGTCTCCCTCTTCATGCAGAACCTTATCCTGGAAGAGGATAAACCCTAATTTAACAAAACATTGTGGCCGGGGTTACTTGCTTTTATTTGGCCTGCCCTCGTTTCTTATTACTTTGGTTTTATAAATTGCTCCTACACTGATTTTGTTTTGGATATATTCACATCGTATATTCACGAATATATTCACATATTCGTTGGCTGCTCGCTGCTGTTTTCAGTATGAATTTAAGTTTGAAGACTGGTTTTGTTGCATCTCTGCAGCTGTCACAATGAATCGAACATTTAAGCTGGTTGATGTATTGTCTTGAACGGAAAGCTTGGAAATTAAAAGCTCTACACTTGGAAGACCTGATCTTTTAAAACCGATTTGAGAATTGTATTGCGTCAAATGTTGGGAATGGTCCTTTTTTTTATGAAGTGCAAGTGGTTCGTTCTTTTAACGCAGCAGTCTGTAGTGTCGTTTAAGGTGTTGCCTATTGACACTGTGTGCTGGGTTGTTAGCAGTAATTGACAAAGTACACAGTGATCTGTGTGTTCCACAAAAGCCAGTGCAGAACGTTACAAATTGGCACGATTGAGTGTTTTTTTCTTTCTTTCTGTATTCACTATTTTGTGTCTGTTGCACCCAAGTTGCATGGTTTTCTCGCTCGTTTTCTTAAGTTCCATTAAAGTGCCGTTTGATTTCTGACTTTGAATCGCTCCTCCAACCGTTTTTGATGTGATGCTGTCATGCAGAGTCCATTTTAGCTAATTCAAATTTTCATTTTTCCAATTTAACAAGAGTGTCGGACTTGCACTAGTATCCCATGTAAGAAACTGTACATTTTCTCACTTCTTGTAAATAAACAGAAAAATAACTTCTGTAGTGTGTTTTTTTTTTCCCCCTTCGCTGTAGAACGGGATGCCAAACTGAGTCCTGGAGAGCTGGTGTCCTGCAAATTTTAGCTCCAACTTGCCTCAACTCCTTCACAGGTATTTCTAGAAAGCCTAGTAAGAGCTTGTTTAGCAAGTACAGGTGTGGAACTGATTGAGTTTCAACTGATTGGGGTTGAAACTAAACTATGCAGGACACTGGCCCTCCAGGACTGAGTTTGGACACCCCTGCCCTAGAACAAAAATAAGCATTTGCATTCCATTAAATAAACTTGAAAATGGACTATGACCAGATGATATTTAATGTGTCGAAACAAGTTGGTTAACAGTATTCACAAGAGCAAACAACCTCAGGGATTCCTGCTCTGGCATTTTCTAAACAGTAAAATTGAAAATTTAAGTTGGAGAAATATTAAACCTTACAACCAACAACGACAAAATATGTTTAGTAATTCAGTGTTGTTTTTATATTTCAAGTGTTGCTCTTACAGAAGATGAAAGAACTGTCCATTGTGAAAACAAGTGGAGAAAATGGAATGTCATTTCAGACAGGAGCACATGCTGCCGTAAAGCCCCTTTACTAATATCCAGGTCAATAAATATCATCCACAGGATATATATATGATTTGACAGGCTAGTTAGATTTGCGGTCTTCATATGGCCTTGAGCTAACCTACAGCAAATTTGGACAAAACATGAAAATACACAATGGTAACGGGAGAAAAGGGTACATGTTTGTAGACATTGACAGGCTTTTCAGGCTTCTGTCCACTTTACATCTTTTAAAAAATACTTTGAGCTCTTTGAAAACAAATAAAACTGTTTGCTTTTATGTGTGGGCTTATCAGAAGCCTGAGTTTATAAAGGCTGAGGTTTCACCAGTTCATATCGTCCAACCTGTCCTTCCTGCAAGAGCTGACCAATCAGCTGTTCCTTCTGAACTCTTCGGCTAACCACTAAAAAGCGTTGTCGACCCTGTCCGTACGATTTGCTGCGCAGCCCATACCTTTGGGACACCTGGTGAATCTGTCGGCGCTCTTCGTTGTTAAGCTCGGTGGAGAAGCGCAGATCGTCTTGGCGTTCCGAACTTGCGTAATTCCGAATGATGTCCTCAATGTCACGCTTTGTCAGCTGACTACCATGTCTGTCCATGTCCATTCCGAGTCCTTCTCGAGTGAACTGCTCTTTGACTTTGATAGGTTCAGCAATGCCGTCTCCTTCCCTACCCAAGCCTCCACCTGTCCAGCCCATCTTACGGAGTAGCTGGTTCCCAATGTTGTCCTCTTTAATCTCCTGCCGAACGGCTTCCTCACCAGAACGACACATGATTTGATCTCGGGAAATTGCATCGGCGTGGCCCTCCTTCCTAAGATTGGACTTCACCACAGCCTGTGTACGCCGAAGCGTGGCAAGCGCCTCCTCGGCCGCGATGTGCTTGACTGTTTTTTTGGGACCAAGCCCTGTTGCCACATACTGACCATCCAGGTAAACTTCACATCGCCAGCTGTGGTCTGCCAGAACTGTGAATTTGTATTCTGCCGACACCTTATTAAATTGAGCAGTGTCGTTTATTATGCATATAGCATTATCTGAATTTTCAAGGATTACCAATTCACCGAGCTGTGCCACACTGCTGCTTTGCTGAGAGTAGCAACCAGCGGATTCCTCTGAAAAATAGTTTCCTCCAGAAAATTGTTGTTGTTGTTGTTGTTGCTGCTGCTGCTGCTGCTGCTGCTCTTGTTGGCGAGCAGCTTGGTTCATTCGCAACTTCTTCACTGCCTCCTCTGCCGCTGAGTGTTTTGCACTTTTCTTGGTCCCTCTGGCTTGTGCCACCAGTTCGCCCTGCAAGTACACATTACAGAGCCATAAATTGCTGTTGGGAACCGGGTCAAAAGTGTAATCTACCTTCATGCGGTTGAAAGCTGCAGAGTTGTTTAAAATACAGATGGCATCATGTGCGTTCTCCATGATTACGAATTCTGTCCAGTGTTTGCTTCGGTCAGGCACATATTGGCCCTTAGTACTTGGGGGTGGACTGTCCTCAGGGTTGCGTAGAGGTGGTGGGAGGGATGGGTTTGGAGTGTTAACCTGGCACACCACCATGTCATTAACATATCTGCGCTTGTAGACTCGCCGCAAGATACGAATTTCCACCGGCCTCATGAACAGCTTGATTGCCTGTTCTGAAGCTCGGTCTCTAGCACCGTTTTTACTCCCAGAGTAACCTGTAGCAAGGTATACACTCTGACACCTCAGTTCACACGCATATCCATCACATGGTACCTTTCTGTTTTTAGGAAGGTCAGCAGGTGGGATATCTCTTAAATTGACATAGATGTACTCTGGGTTCGTCTTGCAGGCCTGAATGCTGCGGCTAAGTATGAAATTGTAGTTTGGACCTTCAGGTCCACCCACGAATGCCGGATCTCTGAGGGTGACGGCAACGGCTGATGCTACTCTGACTATCAGCCTCTGTTTTTCTTCAACTGCGGCTGTGGGGACAGAAGCTGGCAGTGAGGGTGTAGGGAGCAGGCCTGTACCTCCTCTGCTTGGACCATCGTATGCCCTGCTGAATGCCTTGCTGGAGGTTGGCCTTTCTTGATGTCCAAATCCCAATCCACGCCGTCCACTCTCGTAGGTTCCAGACCGTCCACTTCCATCAGATCTGCCTGCTTGTAAGACTGAATCAGACTGCCTGGAATTATGGGCCTCATATTTAGCGGTGTACTCCTGCTGCACTTTGCCCATGAAGTTTGAGGTGGACCCACTGCTGCTATAACCAAGCCCACTTGTGCCACCCGAGGGCACATCCTTGCTTCTGTGCTCAGGCCAAGAATCATACCCATACCTGCCCTTGTCAAGAGAGCTTGAGGGGGGCGTGCGGCCACGGTTGCCATTATATGCTTGATGATCTGGTTCCTTTTGTCTTGCATCAGTCACCTCATCCCTCCTTCTAGTCTTCTCATTTTCTTTTTCATCAGTTCTTCCATTTCCACTGCCGCTGCTCTCGCCACTCACAAAGTGTACAGGCTCAAATCTAGGTCTGCAAGTGAATTTTGACACAGGCATTTTGCTCATGGGTTCCTCACCTGAAATCATATGGATAATATGTTTATATACAGAGATGATAGAAATACAGAATGTTACAAACAACAAACGGATAAACCAAAATGGTCGTTTATATCGATACACAACTGTTACCAGCACTGGTAAATTAAGACTTCATGGTGCACCATAGGCAAAAAGCACATAAGTGAACCCAAGTCTTTTTCCCCTGATTTATTTGATCATGTTTTTTACCATTGCATCAATTAAATAGTCAAAATGTGTTTTCACTATTTTATCTTGCTTTTTAAAGAAAAAATTACATAACTACAATTTGAAACAATTAATTCACACAGATTATTTTTAAACATTCCAGCAAACAGTATGTCAACAAAACAGAATACAACTCTGTAAAATGTTATGTAATTTAATCAATAGGCTATTTGGAATAATACTTTAATAAAATAATACACAATAAAAGCAATAGAATACAATACAAACTTTAAAAATGCAATCGGGTCAAAGAGAATAGGCTGTTCTAAACAGATGGTGGATGCACGAGACCAAGCATCAAGAAGAGAGGCTTCGGTAAAGCTGTTTGTATGACTGTTAATTTATATCTAACCCACTGGGAAATATTTAAAATGGCATTTTCTGTGTTATATTTCATCTGCACCGACAATACCATATAACTTAAATCAATGTGTTTGGACTTTAACATCTGAATGCAGAATTGTCCAAAGACCTGAGGAAATTTCTCTGCATGAAAGACTTGCGAGTGGCCGATTATCCTGCTGCTGCTGCTTCTCCAATAAGGTAGGAAATTAAATATGACAGAAATGTGGATGATGTGTGGATTATTGAAAGTGGTTATAAATAAGCAACACAACGATCTGTTAATGAGGAAGTAGTTTGTCCCAAAGCTTGCATATGCATACTCTTCTGTTACACACTCAAAATTATATATTTTTCGTTCGCAAAGAAAAAAAAAAAAACTACATACTTTTAGAGCAAATTGGGATGCAGCAATAGTTTTTGCGGAATTGTTTTCAAGCAAGAGTCAAGTAAAAAAAAAAGTGATTACAAGAATTGTAATACATTTAACCTTTAATTGGCCCACATTTCCAATTTTTATATTCATGTTCTCTTTATCTCAGTGGCATGAATCTGTCTAACTTCTCCTAAAATTCCTTCGCTATCTTAAAACATACAAAAAACTAGACTTGACTGTTGTTTAAAGGCCTGAAAAAAGTAAAGTAAAAATCACTGTTTAGGTCTCTTAGGGTCAAACAGACCCCATGCTGAAAATGAATTTAAAAATATATATATTTTAGATTAATTTGTCCAAAAGAAAATGTAAACACATAATAAATATGGAATGTTTAACATTTCTGATGAACATTTCTGAATTTTAAGAAATTGGTAAAAAACTAAAAATACATAACTGGCATAAATCTGAAAAAATATGGACTAATACTAAAGCACAAAATCAACATGGACTGCGTGTCACTTGCACACATACTGTATGAACATGAAGTTGTTTCGGGCTTGAAACTGATACATTAAAATTGGCTGTTGTTTTGCAAAAGTAAACTATTATATAAATATCAGACAACAAAAAAAAATACAAAATGTTGGTCTATTTTAGAATGTTACTATATATCTAGTAGACATATAGTAGATATTTTATGATGAAACGTTTTCTAAAGCAAATAAATAAAATTATCATGTTACAATGAATCTTGTTTAATTTGAACCTTGTTTAACATAAGTGGGGCTGCACAATTACTCCAAAAAAATCACAATCTCGATTTTATCCAACACACAATCTTAATCCAGCATCTCTACAATTTAGCCAATTATATGTTCAAGTTCAGAGAGAAGAGTAAAGGCACAAGTCACACAAGTCTTGATATTGTTTTATAGATATTACTTAGTGACATTGACACCACCAAATGGTGTTAAAACTGTCACATAATGTATTTATAAAGTATAAAGCACAAAGGGTTGTGTATGAATATAAATGTTTACTGGGTCAGTAAACCTACTCTAGCCTATATAATGTTGAATATAATGCAGGAGGGAATCTGATAATGACAAATGTTTCCCTTTACCAGTGAAGAAAATGGTCTAATAATGTTGTGAATGACAAGCACATGTATCAATTATAATAATTCTACCTCAGAATACTGAATAGCTGCATTTTGATGTCATCACTTTACTGTGCATTAACAACCGGGACCTACATTAAAGTCTATTCAAGTTCACCATTCAAAGTCTATGCAAAGTATAGCATTTTAACCAACAGTAGACCTACACATAGGTCTAATATTATTATTGTACCATGTGTTTAGGTATGACAAGAATAATAGCCAACTCATATTAACCTTTATTTTACATCGACTGAATCATGAGAAAATTGTGAACTTAATTTCAAGAAGAAAAAATTTGTGATTCTCATTTTAACCGAAATCATGCAACCCTAATAATAAGTAGCATAAACATATCTGTCAACCCTCCCGTTTTTCCCGGGATTCTCCCGTATTTTACAGTTCTATCCCGTCATCATCCCGTAAAGGGATTTTTCCTTTTTCTCCCGTATTTTCAGTGTTTCTCTGAAGGGTGGCAAGAAACATTAAAGAGCCGAGCCTCCCTATACGCAACCCATACCGCCAAACCATCAGGGATCACCCCTTGCTCTTAAAAGTGAGCCTGTTCTGTGCTTTCGCCTTGTTTAGGCATGAAAATGCTTTGAAATAAATATAAAAATGAAAAAAAAAATGGAGCGAAAGTCTGGCTTTTGGGTGTGTGTTTTAACAGACATATACACGTAATTAATAATAACATCTAAAGATGTCGATCTTGGTGTTTTTTTTTTATTCAAACACAACTAATTTTGTCTTAAATGAGCATAAAAAGTTAGGAAAGCAGTCAAACACCTTCATTATTCATTAATATAATGAAGGCATTTGACTGCTTTCCTAACTTAGATGTGTGGATTTCTAAAGTGACACCTCTGTTATTTAATGTGATCAAACGAAAAAATCTAATTAAATCCCTTATTATGGTGGGCATATCTCTTATTTCCACATCCCAATGTTGACAGGTATGAGCATAAACTATGTGGTAACATTGTCTTCAAAGCCTTTGCTATGCATCGTTTCATCTGACATTAGGCAGAATGTAAATTAAACATGTTTTCTTGGTTTTTGTTTAGTTTTTGTTAAAATACTGACATATACACCGTATCTTACAATTCAGCCAAACACACTGAGCTGAGCTTTTGTTTAAATCACACAACACCTAGCCCAAGTTAGGTTCAGTGTTACATGTCGTTTGTAAATACTAGACTTGGTGAACTTACTTCCATCAGATGAACACGGTCTCTTTTTGGCTTCAGCGTTTGGGACTAGTTCATATGAGGGCATTTCGCCAAGATCAATCCCTTCTGCCATCTCAAGCACCTTGTCCATCAGTTGAGAGCCATACCTGCCCAAAGAAAGAAAGAAACGCCATAGCATTGACCAACGAGAACCATGAGCATAACATTGAATTCAAGGTGATCTGTATGGCGCCACATTATATAACCGAAAACACGACATAAAATTAACCTCTCCGCTACTTTTGTGACACGAGCATGCTCTCAAACTTTACATTCAATTTCAATTCCTACCTGCATCCCAGGAAAACATGGTTAACCCACACCATCGACAGGGCCAGCAGCTTATCAAGCCCATTTTCGTGCTCGTACTGCTCAATGTGTTTCAATATGAACTGACGTCTAGCAGACCAATGCTTGTCACTTTCGAACTGCTGACGGAAGTCATCGACATTACACGTCCAGCGGCGAAAACCAGCGGGTTTGCTAGAAACAAACTGGTCCGGTGAATGAGGTCTGAGCATCCCGGTGGTCGACAGTAGCGAGAAGCTAACCGGAAACAACGTAGCTACTAGCTAGCACAGTGCATGCTGGGAAAGCACCCAATGCGCTCAATGGAGAGCTGATTCTGAATATAAGACAGCTTGCTGATGCATATTAAATAATGTAATTAATATGTATTAATTATATAGATAATCATAGATTGATTTGCATGACGTAAATATGATCTAATAACTATCGTCCGGTCATCTGACATCATAGCAGATTTCGTAACTGTCCGTCTGCAAAACTTTCATGACATTTCTCACACAAAACCAAGTTGTTTTATATAATATATCTTTAAATTAACCCCTACACCGTTCTATAAGTGTAATTCCATAAATTCGCTAGCCAATAGTCTTTACGTGACGCAGTGTATTTGATTTCACTGCTATTCACTGGTTATTTATTTTCATTTACACGGATGCTATGGCGGTGTATAACGTTACGTATACATATCAAAACTGAAGTATAAGCTTACCTTTGTCGTACATAAGCTCGGTTTTGTTGTCCTTGAATGTGTAAAGTCGCTGCGGATTGAGGTCCAAATGATTCGGACGCACAAGCAATCTGACAGGGCTAAAGCTAATCCACTGCTAACACCAGGAAACGGCTCATTTATTTATCCGTTCAGCTTGAACGGCGACTCACCAGTGTCACACACTGTTGTCTTTTATCACATTATTATTATCCACAATACATATTTGATAACATTGTTATAACATTGTAACGTTAGTTCATCTTAAATTGGAGTTTTAGATCAATTTATTTCAAATTCTACAGTTTATGTAGGCTTTTCAATGGTACAAAATTATACTTTTGGTTTGCGTTTCTTGATTATGTTGTACATAGCAGACAGCTAACAGATGCACTAAAAAAATAATCAAAGATGATTCCTTGGATTTACTTTTTTTTAAGCTGAGTGGTTGTAAACTATTAATTTTGGTTGAATTTAAAAAATAAATTAAGTTGAACATTACTAAATTTAATTTGATTAAATTCAACTCAAACTGCAATTTTGTAGAATCAGTTTTTTTCAGTGTACATCTTTTGATTTTGAGTACATTGCTGATAATATCAGCTCTGGAGACAAGTCTTAGAGTTATATTCGGTGGATTTGTCAATGACATTATACAATGTTTTAAGTCAAATTAATTAGTAATGATAATTTCATTCATTCATTTTCTTGTCGGCTTAGTCCCTTTATTAATCCGGGGTCGCCACAGTGGAATGAACCGCCAACTTATCCAGCATGTTTTTAAGCAGCGGATGCCCTTCCAGCCACAACCCATCTCTGGGAAACATCCACACACACTCATTCACACACTCACACACACACACACACACACACACACTACGGACAATTTAGCCTACCCAATTCACCTGTACCACATATCTTTGGACTGTGGGGGAAACCAGAGCACCCGGAGGAAACCCACACAAATGGGGAGAACATGCAAACTCCACACAGAAACGCCAACTGAGCCAAGTTTCGACCCAGCGACCTTCTTGCTGTGAGGCGACAGCACTACCTACTGCGTCGCCTAATGATAATTCCTAACAAGAATACTAAAATGTAGAATATTTAAACATATTTGCAGAAAACGGCAGAAAAAGTAAAATTTTCAGAAAATGTTCAGTTTTCCAGGATATAAATATTTTGGGAAAACATGTATGTACACATTGTCCCCAATATATTATATATTGACCTATTGTTGTTTTCTTTAAAGGGCACCTATGATGAAAATCATCTTTTGAAAGCTGTTTGGACAGAACTGTGTGTTGGTAAAGTGTAAGTAAGTCTCTTTTTTAAACTTCATGACATAAAAATAGGATTCAAATCGCTCCCACAAAGCGCTGTTTCCCTGCCCACCAAATTGATTGACAGTCATCATGTATTAACCTGTCTCCCTAGTAATGTGTATAATCATATCAACAAAGACAAGGACATGTGCAAAGAAACTGGGATTAAAAGATCTGTTCAGCTCTCTGTGATCATCAATCATTATCCAATATGATCAAGAATGAGTTTTAAAAGTTTAAAATGTTTTTAAAACTGTGCAATTAACAGTGTTAACAGATATCCATACAACGATGGACATTAACGTGTATCCTGTCACATTTGCGGTGCTAAAATAGTGAAAAGTTAAACACACGTGCTGTGCGTGCGTGTCTGTGCGCAAACTTTGTAACGACATTGTGTATGACCCGTCGCAGAAAGGCTTGAATTAACTCCACAACATACATCTAATTATAATTGGGAAAGTTCTTACTGTAGTGTTTCTCACAAATGTTATGTGAGATCTGCTTCCTTCATGGGTGTCACTGTGCTGTTTATCTGACACAGCCGAGGCAGTGATTGAGGCACACACTGACTGGCACGTGGAAACGGTGGGCGTGGAGAACTGACATTAAAGGCACAGGCAACAAAAACAGCTACAAGATGCTCAGAGCAGAAAATATAAATATTCTGAAAGGTTTAATAAACAATCTGATGGGTGTTTTGAGCTGAAACTCTACGGACACATTCTGGAGACACAAAAGACTGATCTTAAATCTTGAAAAAAAAGGTGTAAAATAGGTGCCCTTTAAATAAATCATCTGATAATACTCTTATTTGAAAATTTGAGTTTATAAAATATAATGCAACTGAACGTTTTACCTAAAAGTAAAACTATTAAACTATTAATGGCAAATCCAGTGAACTGCTAACTTTTAAATGCTCTTATTTTATTGGGTAATCTTGAAATCAATAATAAAAGTATTTTTCACTTTTAGTTCTTTCCAAAAAATGTAAAAAATGGTTTATCATTGAATAATTTGGTATTGAAGAACAAATAAGAAGCACAATTTATACACACATGCAAAAAAAAACTGTGCATATTAATATAAATCACGATGAAAGATGAGTAAAGTCTTCATGAGTGGTCTAAATAACAGTCAAATGTTTATTCATGTCCACCATCAGCACATCCAGAAAAAAAGAACAAATAAAATAATTCAAGTAAATCATTCATTGCTCCCTCATATTTTACAACACTAATTTACATACAAAAAGAAACTAAAACACTGTTACACATGATAAAGGCAGAAGAGATAAACATGACATTGTAAAAGCATCAGAACAATGCTTAAGTTCAGTGTCATTGAGTTCATTTTAGTACACAACACTTAAAAAAACAGTTTGTTGCTGTTTGTTTAAACTACTTATTAAAAATGAGCTGAAACAACACAATTCTTGAGTGTTTTGGGATAACTCAATTGTTTCATGTTCAATCCAATTCAATTTGTAAGTTTTTTCATGTTGTCTCAACACAAATTAAAGACCTTGGGCCGATGTTTCATCTTATATAGCTAATACTTTTACACAGATTTTTGCAAGAAGGAAGTGTCTATCATATGTGAAATGAGGTTGTTTGGTATCTGAATCTGTTCCTGAGCATCTCGGTCTGACTTGCTCCTCACTGGCTGTAGAATCTATTCGAGGTTGATGTCAGATCTGGAAAAAAAGAGATATGAACATTAATTTAGCTTTATTTCCTGACATGAAAGATACTTTAAGATTATCAACAAAAAGAACAGATACTTACATCTCTGCTCATTTCAAGAATGCACAAGGATGCAGTTAAAAAACAAGAGAATGATGCTGTTTAGTGTGTTACTTACAGTAGGAGCTCCACAATATAAAGAGTATGTGTACGACATGCAGTTTTAATCACAAATACACCACTCTACTTGGAAAGCAGACACACTAAGGGTTAGAATTGCTAAATGTTAGTCTGAATAACTTCATAAACATATAATGATTTGAATTAGGAGCTTCATCATACTTTTACACAGTTTATTCAGAACTAATCAAAGGCATTATATCAAAAATAAAGGCACAGAAATCTCACCTGCTGGTTTGGGTGACATCAGAACAAGGGGGAGTTCAGCTGTAACATCACTGTTTACAGAAAATGAACAAGACACAAGCACTTTAGGATAACTTTAGCTGGCTACTCTTGATTCAGAAGGATGACATTGATCAAATGTTAATGATAAAATTAGTAAGATAGAAAATATGTTGATCCAAACCTTGATGTGAGGCTTCCCAAGAGTCCACCTCCCATCATGAGAATGACCTTAATTTTGTAGGAAACAACAACGCCTTGCATTTGCTTATCCATGTCGGGAATCAGACTGCAGAAAGAGATGTACTTGAGTAGGTGTTGTTTTTATATATAAAAAGCCATGAAATTCTGCCTAATGCAGTCATCTTATTTCCATTTTCAAGAGCATATTTAAAGATAATGAAGCTTAACTCACAGTGTTGAAGAAGCCAAGTTGGTGTCTTCATCTTTAAGTCTGCCATCCAATGCAAGACCACGTTTCTCTTTGTTATTGACCAGTAATGGAGTGACTGAATATTCCTTCTCAAAGGTGGAGTTTGCATTAATTTGGTCCCTATTAAAAAAAAAAAGATATGCTATGAGGATCAGAAAAACAATCATAAACATATTGAACAGTGGCCTAAAATGAACATTAATGTGGCCCAAAATCTTTTCATTATTTAATTCTGAAACATATCCTGAAAAGTGAAGCCATAACATTTATGTCGCCCCCTAGTGGCTGGCTGCTGTAAATAAATAAAAAAAACACTTCATAAACTATATGGAGTATTGATTAATTTGATTATCAAATGACAGAGACAAGAGATAAAAAAGTAGTCTGACACAAAGTAAATTAAAAATATGTAAAATTCTAATCATTATGCATAAACTATTAAAGGGACAGCTCAGACAAAAAAACAAAAACAAAAAAAACTCATCATTTACCCACACTCAAGTGGTTCTAAACTTTTATGAATTTCTTTCTTTTGTTGAACAGAAAACAATATATTTTAGAATATTTAATAAATATATTATTATTTTTAAAATACATATATTATGAATGATTGAATAAAGAAGCCATTGACATCTGTAGTAAGAACAAAACATCCTACAGAAGTACATGGCTGTTTTTTCCACCCAACATTTTCAGAGAAGCTTCTTTTGTCTTCAAACTCAGACAGATTTGGAACAAGTGGAGGATGAGTGAACTATCCCATTTGTTTAAGAAAAAGATGACACAACTACAATTTGAAATAATTATTTCACACATAGTATTTTAATCATTCCAGCAGACAGTATATAACTTAATATAACTTAATAAAAAAACATATCTGTAAAAAGATGGAGATGTTAGCACTCACCCAAATTCTTCATTCAGTACACATTTGTGGTATTTGTCCGCTGCATAAATCACTACATCTGTAATTTGGAAAACTGAAATACACAATGATATAAAGTTTATTAAGCATTATTTTGGGGGAAAACACTTCTCTCTCAAAACAATAATGAATATTAATTTTGGGCAGTGATTTTCAATTCCGGTTCGAAGACTTGAATTGAGAACCACTGCTTTAAGCTCTAAATAATTCAAGCAAAACTGAATAATGAACTTTTGAACTGCTGTGATGTCTTTTAGAAAACAAAAAAACTATTTCCTTGGTTTGGACATTTTTTTCCCCAATTCTTTTATGTAAACGCATGAACACACTACAGCTGCTTTATGGTTTAAGTTGATGTGTTGACAATGATTGTTGTATGTTGGCAATAACATGGATAATAAAAAATACTTACTATTGATCTTGATTTTCTTCACTACTTTACTTGTCTCATTGTTCACTTTCACTTTGATTGGAATGGGATCTCCGTGATAGTAGAGCTGAAAGGTAGTAGATAAATAGACAAAGATCTGAATATGATGACAACATGACACTTTTGTAAAAGATCTGCAACAGACATTTAAAACTCCATACCTCTTTCTCCATGGAGACTTCCATGTGAATTGGTTTGTCTGCAGTGATAAACTGTTTGTTGATATCGGCTTTGGGTCCGGCAGCCAGTTCAGCTGGTGCATACTGGATTTTACGGATTATTAGTCGGCAAGTGTCCCTGTAATTAGGAAAGATATTGATACCTTAATGAGAAGTTTTCCTTTTTTCTAATATTATCTTGATTAAAAAAGTTCAGTTAAAGGAGTCATGAACTTTAACTGCCATTTTCTACATAAAAAGCATCATAATTTGGAAGTAATAAACTGTTTTCTGTTCTGGTTTGGCCTCCTCACCAGAACCCACTGTTTGAATAGGCATGGTGGATAGTAGACCTGGAAGCAAACTACTGTGATTGGATGACAGTTTGCATGTTTAAAACTTCTTAAAAACTTGCTTCTATGATTAAGTCTCAAAATTGGACAAGAAAGCTGATGACCACTGATGTAGACATTTGTATAAATCTTTGACAGCCTTCGAACACATCAATTCTCAAAATACATAACAGACAAAGCAACAGTAAAAAGTAAATTGGTGGGTGGAGCTTAATAAACAGCAATCTTCTGTAGAGGGGGAGTTTAGACACACTATTACATAACAAAGTGACACTTTCCTCATCCTTCCAGCAGGAGCAGGACGTCAATGTAACATCTGATTGACGTTGTACCCCAATGTTGTGGGAGGTTGGATTTTGTTTGAAAATTAAAATCGGTTGACGTCAGAAACCAACATTAGGCTGACATTAATGTCAAACGTCGGACAGACATTGCATTTTAGTTACTTTCCAACGCAACCTAATAACAACAAGATATCAATGTCCAATGTTGTTACAGCTTGACATTGTGTGGACATTACCAATATGATGTATATCAGATCAGATTTTGGTTGCAACACCTGATGATTAAATGTCAGTATTTGACGTCAATATGACGTTGGTTTAAGATGTCGGTCACTTTCCAAAATCTAAAACCTAAAATCAACAACAGTTATTTCACGTCGTTATTGGATGTCTGAAAAACATTGTCCTTAGATGCTGACAACCTAAACCTAACCTAATAATAACATCTTATGACTTTGTGTGTCTGTTGTTTTTTTTGTTTTTTTTTAGCAGTTTGGTTTTATAAGCTGTTTTAGACTAACAAGTAAGTTTTGAGGTCTTGATGTATTTTATAGACCTTATTCTTGACGTATAAGCGGACACAACCATTGAAATCTTTTTGATTTTAGACCGGTCTCCTTTACTTTCATTGATTTTTAGACAAAAAAAAAAAAACTCATAATGCTGCTTGATGTTGCAAACTGACATTTTCTTAATTTATTATTCTACTTTATATATAAAGTAATGAACACACTTGTTTGTAGAGTAGTTTTAGATTTCTAGTTTTCTGCTATTTATTAGTGCTAGTCATTTCTCCCATAGGCAACTGAATCAACGCCAACAAAAGTTCAAAAACAATCGAAAAAAAAAAATACAAGCGCACTTCAGCATTGTAGAAAAAGGTCAATAGTACAATCCCTCTTTCATGTTTTGATTTTTCAGTTCATGACCCCTTTCAATGGAGCAGTACATACTTTTTCTCGACTTTCTCATCTATGTTGTCTTCTTCATTGGCAATATAGGCTTTGACTTCATAGTCAACCCCGCAAGGCTGTAAAAGTATATGGATATTAATATTAAAGAGAGTTTGTGAGTTTTTTTTTTTTGTATGTTTGTGTACGTCTGCTAACGTACCTTTCCGGCATCCTCTGGTGCTGGCTGAAGGGACACTGAGCATGGAAGATGTACAGGAATCTGAGATAGAATGGGAAAAACACAAATGAAGGACGTCCTTGAGTGTTTTCTTAATACTTACAGGAATCGTTCACCCAAAAATTGACATTTACTCATCATTTACACTCATTCAAGTGGTTTTAAAGTTATGACTGCCTTCTGTTAAACAAAAATGATATTCTGATGAATGTTGAGTTAAAAACAGCCATTGATGTCCATAACAGATAAAAACAATACTATGGAAGTCTATGGCTGTTTTTTTTTCTAAAACATTTTTCAGTATATCATAATTTCTGTTCAACAGAAGAGAAAAACTCAAACAGGTGGACCAAGAATAAATAAACGATGGCAGAGTTTTCATTTTTGTGTGAACAGCTCCTTTAAGTCAATACGTAAGTGTGGATTTACATCAAAAGTGAATGGATGTCCTTGGTCTCCAGCTTTCTTCAATAGCGCCTCCTGCATTGGTGTGTTTGGGGGCTTGGTTCCCTCAAACGGGTACATCTGAATGCGCTTTATCCAGATATCTTTCCTGAATGAAACTCCAATCACATCCAGATCCTCTCGTCCATAGCGAAAGGCACATGCCAGCTGTACCCACACTGAAAAATACAATTCAATAATCTAGATGAAGTTTCTTAAAATGACCAAACAAAGATTCATAATGCCAGTGTAGTATGTTAAAGTATACCTTTCCTTCCATTAAGACCTGAAGGATCAATCTTAAGTACACCATCTGAGAAGGAAATTACAAGACTTTTGAACTGAAGTGCAATTTACATACACTGGTTAAAGACCAGACTCTCCTAAAGTATAAATTAAGTAAAAGACAATTAATTTTGGGGTACTCAGGGCTGCATTGTGATCTCGTAAACATGTCATCAAATGATTTAAGTTAAAAATGTGCCTTCTATAAACTATAAACCTTTAAAAATGTATTTACTGAGCAACATATTAATATTTTATGCAGTAAATCATTAAAAAAAAGTGCAATAGTATTTTTTTTCTGTTTAAAAGAAAATATAAAAACAGGACATTTTAATGTACGATGAAAAAGAAACTGAATTAGTTTTTAAATTTAGTATTTATCTATAAACATAAACATTCGCAGACCCACAGTCTTGAGGAATCATTAGTTTCTGAATATAAATGACAACATACCAACTGAATCAACGCTTTCCACGTGGTCCACAAAGTCTCTCCTCCCCAAATAAAGGCAAAGCTGTAACAAACAATCACTGTGATGATGATCATTGGTGCTTGTGTCTTAATAAGTTTAATAAAATAGGTTGCATTGGAAGAGCAGATGAAAACTGATGCAAAGCATTAGCAATATAAAGAGAGCCTTACCGATCCATTGCCACTAGTCTTCTTGTAAACCCTGCAACACAACATACATTCTTTAAATTATGTGCCCAAAATCACCCTTTAAATAGTTTTTTATATACATAAAAATATATTGTTTATCTTAAAAGCAACATCTTAAAGTGATAGTTCACCTAAATCAGAATATGCTCCCTATACTGACACTGAGAAGAAGAAACTTGTATAAAGTCATTGTTTTTGTTTTATGCGCACACAAAAAGTATTTGATAATATATAATAATAATTCCAATTATTTAATAATGTTCCAATTGACATGGTGGCTCAGTGGTTAGCACTGTAGCCTCACAGCAAGAAGGTCGCTGGTTTGAGTCCTGACTGGGTCAGATGGCATTTCTGTGTGGAGTTTACATGTTCTCCCTCGGGTGCTTCTATTTTCCCCACAGCCTAAAGACATGCAGTATAGGTGAATTGAATAAACTGAATTGGCTGTAGTGTATGAGTGTGAATACAATGTGTATGGATGTTTCCTTTACAGAACTAGGTTGCAACTAGGCATGGTGATGATTACCGTTTACAATGTATTCCGCTGTTTGGAAAAGTCAAGGTTTTAAAGCCGCCAACATTTTCTGTAATACCGTTCCTAAGGTATGTGTAAGATTTTTTATTGACATTTTCTTTGTTGTTTTTTTGGACAACAGTGTCTGCAGCAGAAAAAAATATCCATAGATGCCATTTTAAATAGTAAATAAATCTGTGTTTGGAAGCTACCGAAGACAGCAGAAGTCTACGATTCATTTGAATTATTCAGCCTGACATGTTAACTGCTCCAAAATATTTTAAATGTTTTTCAAAATAAAATATATTGATTTCAAAAGGAAATTATTTGTTTCTTACCAAGACATTTAAAAAAACCTTATTTTAGAACAGTAATCACAATACTGTGAAACCGTGATATTTATATCCAAGGTTATCATACTGTCAGAATCTTATACCAGCCCATGCCTAGTTGCAACTGGAAGGGCATCCTTTGTGTAAAACATGTGCTGGATAAATTGGCGGTTCATTCCACTGTGGTGACCCCTGATGAATAAAGGGACTAAGGCAAAGGAAAATGAATGAATGAATGTTCCAATTGAACCACTGAAGGCATGTCTATTTTGAGAACAGTTTAAAGTCCCTTTCTGCACTTTGAATGAGTTGGGAACCTTGTGGTTTATGGAGAATCAGGGAGCTCTCGGATTTCATTTAAAATATCTTTGCATTACGAAGATGAATCAAAGGTCTCAGGTTTGAAACAAAATGAGTAAGAGTTATTAACAATTTTATTTTATGGATGAACTAACTTTTAAATAATTTACTTATCGCTTTAATGAGTGAAACAGCTATGTCCCAAACAGTCCAATGAAGTTGGAAAATTGAATAATGAAGTAATTATGGAGAAATACATACTGAGCTGAGTGATAAAGAGCTAAAATCTCTTTTGGCCTGATTTTCTCAATCAACAAGCTGATTTCAGCGTAATTTCAGTGTAATCATTAATTCAGTGGGTGACTGTGCTGCTGTCATGCCCTGTACTGAAGGCTACAGTTTTTTCACCTTTGCTACTTGGAGTTGGGATTAGAAGCAGTTTAGTCTTGCTCAAAAACCTTACTTGATAGAAGTTCCAGTCAAAAAATAGCATGTTATGTAATCATCAGCAAATGTAATCACTGGCCACAGGAAATGCCAAGGAAACTATTTCTATCTCATACAGTTCAATTTTGGTACAGAACTGCTGCTCTCTGGATATATTTTTGAACCATTCTCTGTAAAACCTTGTGTGTGAAAATCCCAGGATATATTAAGTTTCTAAAATAATCAGAGCAGTCTGGCACAAACCATATCCCATTCACTTAAAGGAATAATTCACTGAAAAATGAAAATTCCGTTATCATTCCCTCATCCTCCGCTTGTTCCAAACCTGATGCATTTTCTTTCTTCTGTTGAACACGAAGGAATACTAAAGCATTGGAAAAAAACAGCCATTGACTTCCATGTTTTTTTTTTTTAGTTCTAATGGAAGAAAATTTAGCTTGTTTACACAATTTTTTCACAATATCTATTAATATTATTATATTATTATTATGCTAATATTATTTTGTTCAACTGAAGAATAAAAGTCATGTTGAAACTTTGAAATTCATCTTTGAGTGTGAGTAATTTTTTTGGGGTTGACTTTGCCCATTGGTTTGTACTTCTGCAAATTTTTATTTTTACATGCCGAAATTCATTGTTGCGAGTGGCTGCCATGTGATTGGCGATTAGATATTTGCATAAAAACTTTGCTAAACAGTATATAATAAATTGGCCAGTAAGTGCATTAACTGTTTATCAACTACAATTTCTTTAAATTCCCATCAAGGTTTAAGAACATTATTACTAGATAATTCTATGAATGTGTCAAATGAATTAGTAAAATGGAATGTGTAAAATGGAATAGATTCTAGTTTATGAATGTTTAAATGTTCAGCATAATACATGTTTTTTGACTGTTTGATTTCTTATGCCGTTGTTAACAATCCCTGTGTCTTAATTTGCAAACATTATAGAAAAAACTTATGAATGTTCTTTGAAGGTTCTAAAACAAGAAAAAAAAACTTTGGACAAATACTAACTAAAATACTTTAAAAAACAATCCATAAAGTTTTTGTGTTAAGACGAGAACAAAATTACTTTGTACAAATATTTTATTAATATTACTGGAAAAACAGTTGTTCATAACTTACAATATCAGAATATTAGTGAAAGTTCTGAGAAGTTGTATAGTTATAAAGTGGTGCAGTATTGACGTATGATCCAGAAAGAATGCGTTACCTTATTTTTTTCTTCAGCGTAAAGTAGACACACACCAAAAATATTTTCTGTGTATTTTCTAAAATGTATGCTTCACAAAATAGCTAAGAATATTTGATGTTCAAGTCTATGTAATGTATGCTGAACAACAGAATTTGCACAACATACATTATTTACTAATACTAATAGAAACATCTGAAGGAACCCACAATATATTATTATTCTGGGTTCTTACGTATAATTCCTACACCACCCCATAGATAGAAGTCTTTACAGCATAATGTTTTAACACTGTTGCATTCTAGGAACAGGATGCTGTGAGTTTTAACAGTCAAATAGTAAAAAAAAAAAAAAAACAGTAATTTTGTTCTTTTAGATTGAAAGTTCACACAACAATTTTGTCATTATTTACCCACTCTTCACTAGTTCAAACCCTATTTGAGTTTCTTCCTTTTTTTTGAACACAAAAGAAGTTATTTTGAGCATTCTTCAAAAAAAATCTTCTTTTGTGTCCAACAGAAGATTAAAAACCACATGAGGGAGAATAAACGATGAGGTCATTTCAAATTTGGGGGAACTTCCCCTTTAAAATAGTATTTTTAACAAATTTCTTGTTACTGAGAGTTCAATATTTGCTGCTTTTGCCTGATATGACTTAATCATGTGCATGAGCTGATTAGTCATCTGCATATGCTAAGCTTTGCACTGTTACTTTTAAACTCTTGTGGTAATCCTCTCAATCCACTCTAAAGGGGATTTCTTATAATCTGGTAATCCATCGGGATTGAAGACCAAAAAGACTTCTACAGATTTAATATTACCAGCAAACAAGGTGTGAGAGTATTACACAAAGTCTGCTTGCTTTATCTATTGAGGAGTCATGAATATGAATAACATTAAGTGTGTAAGTTATGGAGTAATGATTATCTAACAAGACATCTGAATGTATTTAGGACGTTTTTTAAAAAACTAAATTAAGTATGAAGAATGAGTTAATATGCACACTTACTTTGTCATGGTGTTGAAAAGTTAGCTGCTAACGTTTCTGAAATGAGAAAGGAAATGGTTAAAAATTTTGCCAACAGAGGGCAGTAGCAACATTTGAGGTAGCAATTATGCTCTTAATTATGTACAGTGTTTAGAAAACCCATTCATGTTTATATGTTGTCCTGCTGAGATTTCAATCCACTAGGGCTAATCAGGGAAGAGGAGATTAGCATAACGATAGACTGCTTCATAATCCTCCAAAGAAGCAGCATTTGGGATTAGCTCTTATCTGTTTCTAATGTGTTTCTGTGAATGAAGCCAAGAATTTCAAACCCTGGAAAAGCCAGCAAAGCATCTGTGATATTTTTAAGGAACTGAAATGTATGCCATTAATAGTAAATTATGCTTTACTCTCAGAAATAAAGGTTCAAAATCTGTCCTGGGGTGGCAAGCTTTTCAATAGGTACATTTTTGTTTCTAACAGGTCCTTAAAGGTACATATTGATAACTAATTTATTTATTTTATTTTCGGCCTAGTCCCCTTATTAATCTGGAGGTCGCCACAGCGGAATGAACTCCCAACTAATCCAGCATATGTTTTACGCAGCGGATGCCCTTCTAGCCGCAACCCATCACCGGGAAACATATGGATAACTAAAATGTACAAATGTGTACCTCATAGTACCTTAAAAGTACAAAAGTGTACCCTAAAGGTAATATTGCTCAACTGTACAGTACAAAAGGGTAAGAATTTTAAAAGGTTATCTCTAATTAAAAATGTCCACTACACTATAAAAAATGCTAGGTTCCACACAACTGATTTGTGTTAGGGCAACATGATGAAATTAAGTTAACTTAGTTATTACTAATTTAAGTAGATAGAATATAAAACAATTAAGTTGCCCCCCCCCCCCCCCCCCAAAAAAAAAAAATCAAGAATTGTGTATATGAAGATATAATCATTGTTTATAAAATACAAGTAGATTAATGTGGTCAAGGTATGACTGGAGATTGTAAGTTTTTTGAACAATTTCAATATAAAAGAGCAGGACAACAAACACTTTCATATAAAAAGGTGTTCAAATAAATAGCCTTAAATATAATACAATCCCACATTAGGCCAGCAAATTTCAACTGACAAGTTTAAAAGTCACACTATACTTATAGTATTGTACAAAACAATCTGTTCTCATGCTAAACAAACAATCAAACTACAAATGATGTGCCTCATATGTCTCATTTATCATTATCAACTATGGATCCTCTTGAGATGACCTTACATCGCCTGGCTAGGGTTCCCCCACTCATTGCCTGAATTACATTCAGGAATAACAAAGAACCGATGATGGTTTCTAGTCAACATTACCATCTGTTATCTTCTCTTTTATAGATTTTAGTCCTCCCGTAGCATTCCAGCATTCACATCTAAATCAGCAGATAATTCAAGCACCTCATCAAAAACGATAACAGTCCAGATCTTCTTACCTGTGTCAGAGTTTTAGGAGTTCAAGTTCTGAGCTTTTCAAGTTCTGCTGCTTTAGTCTGTTTCCCAGATTGCCTTGTCCGCCTTTATAGAGCAAACTCTCCTCCCTCTCTTTGGCTTACGCAGACCCGTTACCAAATGTTGCTTTTGGTCCCAATCCTATTAGCTCATTAGTCCCTTTCTTTTTCTGGCAACAATGTGTATAAAAATAAACACAGAATTGGCATTAGGGATTAGCTTTTGTGGAGTATGAATGAGAGTGTCAGCCTCAGGGTCATCTGGTGGGTCAACAGAAATGTTTTAATACGGTTTCATCTCTCATGAGTCGTATTGAGCTCCACCTCTAACATAGCATGTCTCCATTTAGGGCACGTAGCTACTCAGCTTGGCCTCAAGTCATGAGGGCAGGATAACAATAACAACAGCTCATCAAAGTGTCATAACATACAGCACGGACATGCATACAAAGTGCACTCAGTGTTAAAATGAATGCTGCTTGTACTGCTCTTGTTAAATGTTTCTATTGGCATTGGTCTAGCGTTGGTGGGAGACTATTTTAGAGTACCGGCTTCTTCAAAAGCAGTTAGAGGGACATTGTCATTGTACCCTCAGGAGGATTTATAACAGCTGGTTGGCTGTTACTACAGAATTTACACCAATACACAGGATGATTCTAAGGTGACAACATTTTTGATAATAATAACACCAATAATATAAAATTTCTATGTGGGGTTTGCATGTTCTCTCCATCTACGCTTGGATTTCCTCTTGGAGCTCCGGTTTCCCCTATACAGTCCAAAGACATGCGCTATAGGTTGATTGAATAAACTAAATTGGCCATAGTGTATGATTGTGTTTGTGTGTGTTTGTGAGAGAGTGTGTATGGGACCCCTGATGATTAAGGGACTAAGCCGAAGGAAATAAAATATTATTGCTAAAATATTTTTATATGTATTTAGGGACATTGTAAATAACTTGAAGACTCCCTCTATATCTAGTTTTTGTTTCTGCCTCCTGATACTTACATTCAGCTTCAGTTGTCGTAAAATAATTCAGTCTACATTTATCATTTGTATTACATTTAATCTATTTTTCATAAATTTTCTCTCAGTAATTTGCTCATTTTTTAGGATAAACCAATCGTAGATTAATTACCGTATTCATCAACTCTGTTATCGTAATAAAAATACAATATAAAGAAAATACATACATTTCTGTTTTAGCCATGACATGGGGTATCTTGTTTAAGAGATAGCATTGTGAGCTAAAATGGTGGAAAATGACAAGTCTGTTATGAATTTGCAAAATGAGATATGGTTGTGGCTGGAAATTAATGAAAAAGATTTATATTATTTATTAAATTTCCTATTAATTATATTTTAGTAACGTCTATTCCAACCCTAACCCCAACCGTCACAGTGATGTAAAAACAGTAGTTGTACAGAGAATTATTTATGTTATTTATTCAATTACTGAATAAATTACTAAAAAATTATTTAAAAAAAATGAATAAATTACTGAATAAATTTTTTTTAACATTTACCCCTACCCCAACTTTAAACCCAACCGTCACAGTACTGTAAAATGTTAATTAGTGTTATACAGTGTCATAAAAAATTATACTATATTGATGTGCATATCTAGAGTTTTCCAATGGGTGAATTGCCAACTGACCCAGCTGGGGCTCGAACCAGCGACCTTCTCGCCGTGAAGCAACAGTGCTAACTACTGAGCCATAGTGCCGCCTGGATTAAAAGGTTTAAGAATAATTTAAACAACAATTAGTGACAAAATCAATGTATTCCCTATAAAGTATTCTCTATTAATAATGGATTCAGTCAACTATAAATTACAGATATGTTGTTGTATGTTTTTCCATATTTAGTAAGACGAATGGAAAATTCCTGAAATGCATGTACAATTCTGGAGTGAGTCCACTGCACTCAACACTGAGGAAAACACTTAATTATGAGAAAACCTATTTGCTATCTGACTATGTGAAAATCTAAAATGTCAAAATGCTGAATAACTCCAGAACCAAAAATCTAAAAACTCACCGGCCACTTTATTTGGTCCACCTTTTGTGCTCAATAACACAAATATCTAATCAGCCAATCATATGGCAGAATCACACTTCATTCACCAGTCAAGATAATCTTGTGAAGTTAAAAAAATGTGAAATTAAGTGACTTTGAATGTCGCATGTTTGTTGGTGTCAGATGGACACAACAGTCTTTAGAGAATGAAACTAAATTAGATTTTCAGTGAGTGGCAGTTCTGTGGGTGAAGATGCTTGTTGATGACAGATTACAATGGCTAGACGGATATAAAGGCAACAGTAAATTAAATAACCAGTGAGCCTTAAAGCAGATGAACCACAGCAGCAGAAGAGCACAAAGGGTGCAGCTCCTGCCAGCTAAGAACAGAAAACTGAGGCTACACTTTGCACAGGCTCAACAAATCTTATCAAGTCTTAATTGTTGTGACATTCAGAAGGCACAATCAGAATTTGGCACAAGCAACATTTATGCCCACAATGTGCCTCATCCTGTGACAATACTTCCAGCAATACAATGCTCAAAGTCACAAAGCTCAAGTCAGCTCAAACTGCTCTCTTTAAGATGACAGTGAGAACTCAAATGACCTCAGCAGTCACCAGATCTCAATCCAATAGACCACTCTGGCATGTGCTGGAGTGGGAGATTTATGTCATGGTTGTGCAGCTTCAGAATCTGCACAACTGTATTATGATCTTATATCAATGCAGACACAGATATTTCAGTTTTTTTTTTTTTTACTTAAATGTTTATTTTTTTTTTACATCTGTGTAACAAAGTCTCAAGACACTTCTGAAGGCAAACGCAGTTCAACACAAAATAATCATGATGTTCCTTATACATATTTTGAATGCAAAATTGAACAGGTGAACTGGATAAAATAAATCGGTGTGAATGGGAGATTGTTTAGGTGTTACTGTAAGTACAACTCTCAGTGCTGGGTTGGGGCCAGAGTAATTGGCAGTTCATTCTGGTGTGGGGATAAAGCAGGGTATAAGTCAAAGGAAAGTGACTGAGTAAATTTTAAAAATCGTATATTTTTTGTTCACATAAGAGAAACATTCTGATCACATCAGAAGCCTAGTAAAGCTGTTTTTATTTTACCTTAAGTAGGTTGTTTTGGGGTGCATGTGTCATTGAATATCAAGCTGATTGATAATGTTCATAATATAGGACAATGTGGAATAAAATGATCATGATGACACAGAATAAAGGTGTCTGGTGTGCCACTGTTATGTTCAACCTTCACTTGTCACAAACCTCTTTGAGTTACTTTTTTTTTCTTTTTTGTTGAAACACAAAAAAGCTCTTGCCCCATATTTTTAAAATATGTTTTAATATTATTCACAGATTTTATCTAGTTAAATCGTACAGAAATTAAAACTTGCTCTTTCTGTGATGAGTCTGTTGCAATGCTCACCTATTTTGGGAATGTCCCTTTGTTAAATCTTTCTGGTCTGCTGTGAATTCTCTAATTGCCCGAAAGGTTTGTGGTGAAGCTGTAGGTATATTATTTTGGGGTTTAACATTAAAGAAAAAACAATTCCTTAATTCAAGTTTTTGTATAAACCTTATATTATTTATTGGGAAGTTGTTCATACATAAATATAAACATTCTCAATGTAAACCAAATTTCGTATCTTTTAAATAAGAATCGGAACTGTACTTGAAAACCATTACAGAGTCTTTACAAACTTTTAAATCTGTATTGTTTGTACTATACTTCTATCTGTTTGTATTACTATTGTAATTACCAGTTCATTTCAGCTTAGTCTCTTTATAAATTAGGGGTCTCTACAGCAGAATGAATCGCCAATTTATGCAGAATATGTTTTACGCAGTGGATGCCCTTCCAGCTGCAACCCAACACTGGGAAACACCCATACACACTCTTTCACACACATACACTATAGTCAATTTAGCTTAATCAATTCACCTATAGCGCATGTCTTTGGACTATGGGGTCAACTGGAGCACCCAGAGGAAACCCACGCCAACACGGGGAGAACATACAAACTCCACACAGAAATGCCAACTGACTCAGCCAGGGCTCAAACCTGTGACCTTCTTGCTGTGAGGCGAATGTGCTACCCACTGCGCCACCGTGACACACTTGAGTGTTATTATAGCAATAAAAACAAACAAAAAAAAAGTTATTTTGAAAAAGGTTAAAAAACCTGAGACCACTGACTTCCATAGTGTTTGTTTTTCCTACACTATGGAAGTCAATAGTATAAGTGTGTAGTAAGTAGAGTGAAGTAAGTGTGAAGTTTGCATGTTCTTCTCGCGTTGGCGTGGGTTTCCCCCAGGTGCTCTGGTTTCCCCCACAGTCAAAAGACACGCTCAATAGGTGAATTTGGTAAGCTAAATTTGTTATTCTTATACTATGAAAGTCACTGGTCTCAGGTGTTCAACATTTTAATTTCCAAAACAACAAAAAAGTAATAAAGGTTTAAAAACCACGTGAGGTAGAGAAAACTGTGGCAAACTAACCCTTTAACTCAGAGATACTCAAAGTAGCACCTGTGGGCCAAAGCTGGCCCATTGTAACCTTTGATTTCAAGTTTGGTTTTTGGCCTTTTACGCAATAATTTTTAAAATAATACCACATCCGCACCACTAGGTGTCGCAATTAGTTGATTTGTGCGCCACTAAAACATTTACAATATTTTGCTCCAAACGTTATAACCAGACAACCTACATTTATTTAATTGAAACATTATGCAGTCGGAGTATTACTGTTTTATTTATAACTCATTATGAGGCTGACTATGTAATCGCCAGAGGACTTCAATTAAAGGGCGTTGAACGCCGTTTTGAACATACTGTTATTAATGGAAGCAGCGACTGATGTAATCCTTTACCTGAGGCTGGAAGAGAGAGGATCAGTCTGGACCTCTGACTCTCAGCACACTCGCACCTGCTGGGACAGATGGAGCAGGGTCACAGGGCTTGTGCTCTCTGTGCAGATGCCATGC